AAAAAAATTTTTTTTTTTTTTTTTTTTTTTTTTTTAAAAATGAATAGCTAACTACTGATGGGTTGACTTTTATGCGATGAAAACAACATGTTCTTATGATCGCTTGGGACGAAAATGGTTAGATTATCGAATGATTAAAAAAACAGAAACATCTTCTTTGTGTTTTTTCAGAGTAGACAGAGTTTTTGGACAGCAGAAGCTGCATTTTGACCGCAATTGATCTGGCCTATTTCTGTCGTCCTTTTTTATGCGTTTACTTCTCTTGAAATAAGTTACGGTTATTTATTTATTTTTTAACACTGTTCTTGCACAATGAAGAAAACATAATTGGAAATGATAAAATCAAATGTCTCAGAAATTTCTTATACATCTAGTTGGACAGTATTTGGATGATTAGCGATGTGAACACATTTTCTCTGTTTCATACAAGAAGAGATATTATTTTTTTAAATAAAAAGAACAGGAATGGGGAATCTAGCAACTGTATTAGACAGTAGACAGAGTTTTTGGACAGCAGAAGCTGCACCTCGACCACAATTGATCTGGCCTATTTCTGTCGTTGTCCTTTTTGCGTTTACTTCTCTTGAAATAAGTTATGGTTATTTTTTTTTTTTTGACACTGTTCTTGCCCAATGAAGAAAACATAATTGGAAATGATAAAATCAAATGTCTCAGAAATTTCTTATACATCTAGTTGGACAGTATTTGGATGATTAGCGATGTGAACACGTTTTCTCTGTTTCATACAAGAAGAGATATTATTTTTTTAAATAAAAAGAACAGGAATGGGGAATCTAGCAACTGTATGCATATTAATGAAGGGGTTCCTTTTTCTTATTACTTTGGCTAACACTGAAATGACACTCATAATCTTTCACATTAAAAAAGAAATCTCTGGGCCTACAAAAGTGCTTCCTCATAGACATTTCAATCCTTTTTTTTTCCCCCGCCCAGACTGTCTCCTGAGTCCTATAAACTGCACGGGGCCTTAAGTGAAGCATGCAGTGAGATTCATTGCTATTGAACTTTTTCTCCCCCCACAGTTTATCCGCTGTTCAAGTGTTGTCAGATGAGTTGCTGAAAGCGGCTCCCATGCTGGAGCCGTGCATCGAGGCTATGGAGGAGGCACTGCACCACATCTTGAACAACTACCACCATATTCAAGGCATCGACTCATCTGAGCTTGTCTTTAACGAGGCAGCGATGATAGTCCTCTCCTGCGTAAACATCACCTTAGATGATCTCTTCTCAATAGTGGGGGGCAACTTATCCAGGATCAATCACGGATCTTTCCTTGACATGGTAAATGATGCCGTGAAAGCCATGATCCACATGAAGTTATTCGGGGATGAGCCGATGGTTTACCAAGCCCACGAACAATTCCTGGCCTCCAATGCCAGAAAAGCGCTCATGCAGAAGGTGGCTGAGATGTCTGCATTGTTAGCGTCTTCAAACGAATCTGGACTAGAGCTTCTGACCCAGGCTTTGCCCAGGATATCCGAGCTGCTCAGGCCTTTATTGTCCACCCTGACTCAAATGGGCGTGGATTTGCCGGAGATCACCGAGCTCGTCGAAGAGCTAGTTGAAAACATCATTGCTATGCTGAGGCAGTTGTTAAGCAGTGGCCTTTTTACGCCCGAGGCCCACCATCCGGGTGTGACCGCTAATACCCACGTGTCGAACGCCCGACGCAGACGAGAGGCCCCGCTGCTGCCCCAGCCGGACCCCATGAATGACTTCCTATACTTCCTGTCCATTGACTACCCAGCAATGTTCCGCACCTTGTCAGTCCCTTCGCAAGAGGAAATAAGGGAGACTGCTCACATGTTCTTTTCCAATCCCAATCTGAACATTATCATGAAGGGCTCAACAAGGGACATGCCATGGGCTTTGAATAGCTCACGGGAGGAGACCATTGATGCCGCCCTGGGGGTCCTCTCTTTTGCGACCCTTCCCAGTGATTCTCAGATGTGAGTAAAAGTTAAACCGGTACCTCCTACTTACCATGAAGCTGAAAAGGTTGCCTTTCGACACCAATTATTTATTAATTTTTTTAATTGACTCCATTTTATTTCGGCAAGTGGTTGCACAGCATAAAATCAATTCGATTTCGATACAGACACAAGACAATACATCTCCTTGCAAAATGTATCTCGATCCAGATGATTTTAGTTAGTGTAACCACTTGATTAAATAAAATGCCATAGTCAATTCAATGCACCATTTTTTTTCAGTGTACATGTCTTGGACCAGTATGTTGAATTGCAAGCCGCGTATTGCAATTTTGTGTCTTCTCTTTCTAGCTTATCACTGGCTCTCTTGAGGGATGCCGTTGATATGCTGCCGGATAGCTTGCCATTCTCAACTCTGCTTAAAAATATGACCAGAGCGCTTGCCAGTGAATCTCAAGGTAACATTGACTTTCACAACTTCTGTCGAAAGAAGCAAAAAAAAAAAAGAAAAGAAAAAAGGTGTTAAACTGCACTGCATCATTCTGGGATGTATTGAAAATGTTTTGTCCTCAACTGACGCGGGTTATCATATTTTCTAAACGTGATATTACAAAATATTGATTCTGTAATCAACGCCTGCCTGACCGTGTAGATCAGGTGATTCAGCTCTTGTATCTTTAAGATTAATCCTGCTTCGGTATGCCTAATGAAGTGTCCAGCACATACAAATGATGGATTATCTCGACCTTTTCTGCGACTACTGTACTGCAAACCCCGACACGCTTTTTTTTTTTCCTCAATGCTTCTTTGCAACTTTCAACTCCCTTACAGATATGACAAAATATGACTTAGATCCGGTTTAGCCCGAGCTCCCAGTGAGTGTCTGAGGCATTAAATGAAAGCCGCTCAGCACGTTTGAAAATCTCATTAACAAAACAGAAAGGATCTTGTCTGCCCTCGCGAAACATCTCCGCCTCACATACAAAAGTGCACATCTATGACCTCCTTCCTAATTGGCGTCCGGCCTCGTAAGATAATGGTTCTTCACGGCCCAGACACAATGTGAGCGCTTTGATACATTTTCATGGTATTAACACACGCACACACACACATGCACACACTTTTTAATTGCAAAGGCCTTGCGGTGTTGACCGCCATGAAATTAAAGATTGTCTAATTTCAGTGTCATTACACATTCTGTCATCACATCTTCCGGCCCAGGGTGTTGTCAAATTTGTTTTAATTCATGACATCATTGACATCCCACTGACCCCCATCCACTTCCATCGTTCCAGATTTTTTTCTGTAAGCAGTTCATTTGCAGCATGTTGCCTAACAACGCTTCCCAGCAACAGCCTTAGTTGGAATGAAGCACCAGTCCAATGTTATGTGTCATCTTTTCACACATCCGAGACCCGAATGCCCAATGTTCTCCTTTCGCTTTGTTCTGTTTTTGAATGTTTCTCATTCCAGATTTATTTGTTATTGTTTTTTTTCCTTCCTTCCCTCATTGCAGAGATGTTGATAGAATTACAGCAGGTCCTCCAGACAGCTACTCGGCTTCTCCAGACCAACCTGAGTGATCCACTTTACACAGACCATCTTGATCAACTGAGCTCTCAGGTCTCTTTAAAATAATTTGTAGAATGCATTTTCAAAGTAGGGTCGGGGTTTTCAAATCAGAGGTAGGGTTTCAACGTAGGGTTTCCTTATGGGACTTGTTTGCTGGTGCCTTTCAGGTGTGCAAAGTAGAAAATACGGAGTTTGCGCATCACCTCCTGGGCGCCTTCGCCTTGGAATCTGGTCAACTCTGTTCCAGTCTCCTACCAGGCCTGCGGGTCTTGTTGCAGGCTGTGCAGGGCAGGGACACAGATCTGGGTGATGCCATCTTCCAGACATTAGTTGGAGACCCCAGCACCTATGACGACGACACAGATTGGTAGAGCATTTTGCTTGTTCTTGCCACAGCATGCTTCTATATTTTACATCTCTTTGTGTTCGGGATGAGTCGTTCTTTTGACAGTCATTTATTTTCCAGTAACTTGAACAGATGGAGTTGAAATGATATTTCATCAACTGTAAATATGTGTATGTGTGTCCGTGGGTGTGATAATAGGTCCTCTCTGCTGAGTCAAAGTTTTGGCATTGACACCAGCAGCCTCAGTTCGCTCAACATCAACTTCACATCTCAAGGTGAAGCAGGTAACGAGACCTCAAAACTTTTATTTGTATTTCCCAACATGGTTTCGTACATTGCACTTTCGAAATACATGCGTGAGTAAAACGGGCTTTGTTTTGTTGATGGTTTTTGTTTTACGTCCAACTCATCTGAATGCCCTGAGAACATAATACGATCACGATCGGAGGGAACCGACAAGGGAATTGTAGCGTTGACACCATCGTGCTTTATTTGTCCAGGGGACGTGACAGTTGGCGAGATGCTGCGGAATGAAAGCGCTTTTTTGCATGATGTTCAGAAGCACATGGATTTCGATCCGGTTGCTCTCCAGATCCTCATGAACACAACTATGCCCACCAACAATTTACAGGTGAGCAGTGGGGATTCAATGGCAGGAACCACAGTGCTCCACCAGATTTAGCATTTGGTGCCACCTCCGCTTCATTAATTTTTTTTCATTAATTTTGGATCAGTGCAATGATTCATTGTTTTTACATGAACTTGTCTAATAATCCTTGCTGCGCTATTTTTGTCAGAATTTCTATTCTTCATCAACCCCAAAGTTTTAAATCAGGGGTGTCAAACTCATTTTTGGCGCGGGCCACATTTTAGTCACTGTTTCATTTGGAGGGCCGTTATGACTGAAACCATATGAAGAAGACAAAGAATAACATGGAAGTTGACAGGTATGAGCTGCTTTCACGGGCCACATAAAATAATGTGGCGGGCTAGATCTGGCCCCCGGGCCTTGAATTTGACACCTGTGTTCTAAATAGTATTAGTCATGTTGTTCAATATGTCCATTTTGGAAAAGAAATGATGATTCGTAATGAGGAGGTGGTGTCTTCTGTCACCTTGGCAACAACAAATCATGTCGTTGTTGTGCTCCATACTGATTACAAGTCTATTTAAAAAAAAAAAGGATGAGTTTAGATGATTCAAAAAATGAGACATTTTCCACTGCAGATTCTAACTTTCTGTACCGTCTTTGAATGTTTTCCTCTTGAATGTGTTCGACGCAGATCCTTTCTTGTTTGGTGAAGCTGCGTTACTGCAATTCCCGCAAAAATCTGAGCATCGCCGAGCCGGATGTGCTTGTGTTTCAAACCTTCTGCTCCATGTCCGCTGAAGAGGGGTACACCTTCGCTCTGCTCATGACTCGCCATCTGAACATGGAAAAGTTAATCTTCAGAGTAAGGCTGATTACAGGAATGGCACACTCGCATGGGGGGGAAATGGGAAAAAGGAATGGATGTATACTTCCCGGCAAAAGCCATTTTCCAAGCCTAAATTCCTTTTGTCTCTATATTTTCCATTTTCTCTCGCGTTCATTCTTTTTTAACAACATGGTTCTGTTTGATACTTTATTATTATTGACAAAACATTCATTTTCGAGTCTCTCGTTTTAAAACATCACCATTTCTTGTGTCGAAAATGACACGCTAATGGTTGTGGGTCGTATCAGATTTGGCTAGTTCATGCTAATCCTGTGAATAATTCCGCATCTGGCTCAAATTAAAATGTATATATTTTCCGTTCCCTGAGATCTGATGACCTCAGATTTATTTGTAAGCTCTTATGAGTAATTGGAGTCACCCGGTAACAATCTTTCCATACATTTCTATTCATACATGTGAACTATTTTATCCTTTTAAAGAATACATCCACGACCGGGAAAAAGTCCCAACAGCAACAAGACACGCTTTTTGGAATTAGATGATGGATGCTATGATGTGCCATTAAACATTCATCTTATTTGATTTCAGAATGTGTGAATGCTTGACATGCTCAGCATTCATATCGTAATGCCTCCCCCACCATTGCCTATATTGGACATTGCTACCAGTCAAAAGAAGAAAACCCCCATTTCAAGTGACACATCTGCGCCTGTCTATGTATTTATGTTTAATTCATTGGCTGGTTTATGACCACCCTTCAGATGAACTCGCTGTCACGCTGAAGTGAATTGGAACTTGGCTCTTATTGTCTCACTCAATCCTTTTGAAATTTCTTGCCTTTTCGTTCCACTCGTTCTCTGAGAAAAAGCACACATCTGAAAAGAACGGAGAGGAAAGATGTGCGAGGACTTTCAAAAGATGTCAAGCCGGAAGACCGATGTAATCACATCACGTGAACTCAAAATCCGCAATGATTTGTGATTTCTTTCTTTCAGATGGTGTTGTCCGACGATATTCAGAGCCTGTTGAGATTTGTGCTCCTGATGGCCAGCAATATCATCCACATGATGGATGAGATGCTTCCCGCCATTGATCAGCTGAGCACTTACATGACGTCCATCGCAGAATTCAGTCTGATGGCCGACAAAGAATTCAACCAAGTGTGTAGACTCCATTTTTAAAAGTACGTTATGAACATGATTGTAAATTCATCACGGCTGACGCTTGATCTCCCTCCACCGCTCCCCCAGGCTGCAAGAGTCATGAAGTTGAGCCTCTCTACCCGAGCTACAGTTGTCACCATGACTCAAGCCATGTGCAGTAACGGTATCCTACCTCTCTTGCAACTCGCCAGCCTTCCTACCGATTCACAGTCCGAGCCACCCCCGCTTGACAGTGACGTGAGGGAAGAGATGATTGACAGGTTCAAGATTCCACGAAACGCCAGTATGTTGGGAAGACGTGGGCCTTTCGTTGCCAATGCGTTTATGCAGTCTCGTTGGGAAGAAGGATCAAATGTCTCACGTTCTTTTCCCCATTTGTAGCCCCCTACTGTATGAACATGTACCTGGACATGGTCAACACCACAGGGGGCGCTATTGCGTGGGCCTTCCTCAAACCAATGCTGATGGGAAAAATCCTCTTCACACCTGACACACCAATCACCAGGGCTATTATGGCAAAGGTATCCACTAGCTTTATTTGACACTGACATACTTGTACTCTTTTTGACCCCTGAAAGTCCCAAATATGCACATTTCATTGTGAATGGCGTGCAGATAGGAAATCAACTCTCGGATCAAGTGAACAAAACATTTGTTGACTCTGCAGCAATTGCTGACGTGTTTTCAACTGTGATGTCTGCCAGACTTTCTTGCAATCTTCGGTTAAATCTCGCCACTGGAACTGTGTACAGTGTTAGTGTGCACGCAACTGTTGACAACCTAAATCAGCCACGCAACAAGTAACAAATACTGCCAAACAAAATACTGTGTTCGATATTGAATTCCTCGAAAGAACAAAAAGTATCGCAAATAGGCGTGGAACGATGTGGTGAGCGCTCCCGACTTTATTACGAGCCGGTCGCATGATTTGATTTTTCACAAAGGCTTCCTTTATGAGGTTCAGAGAACACATAACAGACAACTGGGCTCTTTTTTTTATGTCAGTATGACAGCACAGTTTTTTTTTTCTTTGACAATGAGAAAAAAAAAAACATCCAAGAAAGTGTGAACAAGGCAATGAAAGAATTATGACCAAAAATGACTGACTCACAAATCTCAAAAGCAAAGAACACTTTGGTCATGTTAGACTTCATGATTGATAATCATGATCGATGCCCATGCCTTATTTTAATGCAAAGCGGGTCAGAAAATGTGGTTCATCTTCGGGTCACTGAGGAGCTGATCAACTTTTTTTTTTTAAGCACATAGCAATGACTTCTTCCTGTTCCTACTCAGGCCAATACTACCCTGCAAGAGTTTGGTCAACTCAAGAGGCACTCTGACGAATGGCTGAAATCCTCAAAGTACATCGTGAAATCTGCCGAAGTGCTTAGGCACACTTTGCCACTGCTTCAGGTATGACATCTCAGGGCCACTCTCTAATTCCCCAACTGGTTCAAGGCAGGATTTTTGAGAACGGTTTCGTCATGGTGTGTGTTTACAGAATTCCTTGTCCAATGCCTTTGTGAGAGGTTTCATTGAGATGCAGACAGACATTGAAGTCGATGAAATGAAGAAGACGCTCAACAGCTTCTGTGAGTGAGCGTTTGAAGTTTGCTGCTGTCCATGTTCTGACCTCGCTTATTATCGAAATGAGGGATGAGGAACTTTTTTGTTATATTATCTTGGAAATGAAATTTTCGTGGCCTTAATTAACATTTCAAAGCAACTACAGTACCGTACCTAAAACTTTACTTTTTTGACAGACTAATTGATTTTTTTTTTTTTTTTGGTGTGTGTTTGTTTGTGAATCAAAGCAAACATGACATTGATGTTGGAGAGGAACAAACACATCATGGATCAGATCACCACCTTGTCCACCCTGATGGTCAACATCTCATCCTGTATCAAATTTGATCGTTACCAAGGTTACCAATCTGCTGAGCAGCTTGACGAGGATGCTCAGGAACTCGCCAAAGACCGCAATCTCTATGGAAGTGAGTCACTGTAACGTCAACAGTAAGCGAAAAGGAATAAAAAAAAAAAAAAATCACCATGTTAATTTTTCACAGAAAATAAAATCTGTATAGTTACAGTACACCGCAATTGGTTGGTTGTATGACGCAACAGATCCAGTACAATACTTCAACATTTGATTTATTCACATCTGAGTTGATTTGAGGTTGGGACGATGTTTCTCTCAGGCGATGTGCAATAATTTGGCTTTAAACTTTTAAGATTTTGAGTGAGATGCCTTCTTTGTCTTGAAGGTGTCATTTTCAAGCTCCCCAAAGAGGAGAACTCTTCCCTGTCACCCAAAGTCCACTACACCATCCGAATGCATCTGGACAACGTCATGCGGACCGACCGAGTCCGCAGCCTTTACTTTGCCAAGAAAAACCACATATCATCGCGGACCGCCATGCGCTACAACCGGGCCTTTGTGTACCTGCAGGAGAACATTGACCGGGCAATTATTGAGATGCAAACTGGAAGAGTCACAGAGACGGCTGTGCAACTTCAACCCTTTCCATATCCCTGCTATCTTCTTGATCCGTGAGTTGACTTAATACTGCACAAACGTACTGAATACTCTATTGACACAAGTGTCAATAGAGTGTCAAACTCATTTTTGTCACGGGCCACATTGTAGTGACCATTTCCCTTGAAGGGCCATTATTACTATGAAAACATATAAAGAAGTCAAGAATAATGGTTCATTGAACGATTGTTAAGTTAGTGTAATGAGGGGTTTGGTAACAAGAAAATGCTTATATTATCTCGCTTATTTATTACATATGAGAAGTTAAAAATCTAGGTACAGATTTTAGCAATCATCATAGAAGTTGACATGTTTGATTTGCTTTCACCGGCCACATAAAATGATTTGGCGGGCCGGATCTGGCCCCCGGGCCTTGAGTTTGACACCTGTGATATAAGGGATGTCTTCAAACACGTCATTTTCACCTGATCAGAATTGGGGGAAACAAAATTGAGTTACGAACTTTTTTTAAGGGCTATAAAATAATCTAGAGATCCACATATCACCAAAAGAAATGTTATATTACTTCTAGTCGTTGTTGCGTTTAGCTAGCATTGTGTGACAATGCTAATATCTGCAGGATGGAAATATTTTCATTTGGAAAGCAGACACAGTGCAAATTGACCATTTCCTGTGGTGGAAAGGATGGAGGGATACTTTTTAGCACAACTAATTCAACACGCCACCTGAATATATAGCGTTTATATTGTATCGCGCAAGGATGCTGTGGATTCGAGCCTCAAATGTAAATATAACATAAAAGAAGGCACAGTGTCTCTTGGGTGAAGTCCAGGCATTGATGTGGAATAATGCAAACTCACTCATTATTCATCCGCCACTTGGGACTGTCAGTAAGTAGTCAGTCACTGGCAAGTCTCACATGATAATTGCCTCTGAAAAGGGTGCATGAATATTCAGGCTCGTGTGTGTGTGTGTGCTCTTCCATGCAGACATGCGCCACTCAAACCGCCGCCCACTGCTCATATCTGAAATGTACATTTTAACCAATCCGACAGTCAGAGAGGTTTGACATTAGCATTTTGCAAACATGCAACATCGTTTCTGATCGCTGAAACGCGGCGGCGGTTTGTGCTCGCCCTCATGGGCTTTATTAAGACAATGCTGATAAGCCACATCAGATGTACCGCGCAGGCCATTGCATCTGACAGGCTGCCTTCAAGCTTGACTATGAGACGGGCTCATATGTGCCATTGTGCCGATCTGATATATTACAATTCTGTATTTAGTGTTACGAAAAAACAAAACAAATTAATTATAATAAAGGACATCTTTGTCAACCTCTCTTCAAATCCAAGAGAGGTTTGACATTAGCATTTTGCAAACATGCAACATCGTTTCTGATCGCTGAAACGCGGCGGCGGTTTGTGCTCGCCCTCATGGGCTTTATTAAGACAATGCTGATAAGCCACATCAGATGTACCGCGCAGGCCATTGCATCTGACAGGCTGCCTTCAAGCTTGACTATGAGATGGGCTCATATGTGCCATTGTGCCGATCTGATTTCGTACAATACTGTATTAGGTGTTACGAAAAAAAACAATTAATAATAATAATAATAATAATACAGGACATCTTTGTCAACCTCTCTTCAAATCCAAACGTTTTCTTTTGATTGATTGGTGTATTTTTGCATTCATCAGGTATCTTGAGGCCATCACTTTAGTCTTCCCGCTCATGCTGATGTTAGCCTGGGTGCTGTTTGTGGCTGACTTTGTCAAGAAATTGGTTTATGAAAGAGAACTGGGGCTGCATGAGGTAAGGATTTGAGTTTTTCATGACGTTACATTTCTGCAGGTGTCTTTGGGTCCTTTAGAAGGTGCGATATAAATCCAAGTTATTTCTATTGCGACACCAATGACAAAAGTTGATTGTAGAGAGAACGCAGCCACTTCAAGCGCTGGAACCAGTGCTGTGCTTTTACAATTATTACGACACCAATGACAATAGTTGTTGTAGATAGACCGCAGCCACTTCAAGCGCTGGAACCAGTGCTGTGCTTTTACAAAGATAATCATTCACAACCACAATAAAGTATTTAGTAAAATGATGTAAATAGAAAAACGAGTGATTTTTGTTTTATTTTGGGGATATTTTCTTTTCCCTTCAATCTACAGTATATGAAGATGATGGGCGTAAACCCATTCAGCCACTTTGTCGCCTGGTTCTTGGATTGTGCTGCTCACCTTCACAGTGTTTTTTTTTTTTTTTTTTTTTTAATTCAAATTCAATTTCATACATCTGAATGTTACATGAAACAAACTAACTTTCCAGACGGTCACTGTCAAGGTGGTTGACTAGAGCAGAGGTGTTTATTTAGTTATTTTTTTCGTACTCTGGTTTGATAACTAAAGTCTCATTTTCCCACAGAGCTTATTTGCCCCATGCTGTTTCAGTTACGCTAGCCAATATGTCTCTATCTACGAGATGCGAGGAGATGGTATGAATTTCCCTCCCTCATCACAAAATGCTGTATTAGACATGGGAAACAAGGGAGTTGTGTTTGATGTTTTTTTTTTTGTTTGTTTTTTTTTTTTTTTAGGAATTCAGTGGAGCAACTCATATTCCTCACCCATGGCGCGAGACACGGCCTCCTTCGGGTGGCTGTGCTGGATGATGCTCATCGACTCGCTCCTCTACTTTACTGTTGGGGCGTACATCCGCAAGGTCTTCCCTGGTAAATACACCGGAATTAGATGAACTTGAGAGTCATGGCTAACCTTAAAAATGTTCTTCTATCGATAAATGGACAAGAATTCTATTTTTAATTGGACAAGTAAGTGTATGAGAAATTTTATGACCACTTAATATTGCTTTGTCTATTATGAGCCATGTTTTAGGGGTAAGACAGTCAATTAGCTAGCATCTACCTTTTCTCTACGTATTTATGTATCCATGTTCTACACTGCTTATCTTCACAAGAGACACGGGTGAGCTGGAGTCGATCGCAGCGAACTTTGTTTGAGAACCTGGGCTGGTTGCCAACCAATCGCCTAATGCATGCACCCGTTCACACTCACATTCACATACATAAGGGAAATTAGAGTCTTCGATTGACTGAAGAAGCATGATTTTGGAATGTGGAATTTGTCTGCACAGGAAGGCCGGAGACCAGATTATAACCCCCAACCTAAGAACTCTGAAATAGATTGTGTGTTTTATAAGTCACTTTCCGTTGCCTATATAAGTCCCAGTCACTTTACATTACCTTATACAAGTCCTTGTCACTTTACGTTAGCTTATGTAAGTCCGTGTCACTTTACGTTACCTTATATCTTAATGACTGTTGAAGATCTGAAAAGCCAACATATATTTCCTGACTGCTATCTTAAGTTTTTGTCGCAAAAATTTGAACAGAAAAATCAGATGAAAAGCAGAGGAAGCAGATGTTTGTGTTGCTGAATTTCTTTGTATGCGCTTCAACTGTTAGCGTGACAATGTTTTTTTTTTCTATTCGTTTTTGTGTTTGATCAGGCAAATTTGGCATCCCGGCTCCGTGGTACTTCCCCTTCACAGCCTCCTTTTGGGCTAACCTTTTCTGCTGTGTAAAGTCACAGATGGGAGGCGGAGGACGTCTGTTCACCAACGCCGTGAAGATAAACGTGCCCGTGTTCTGTGATAACAAGGGGAAAGGTACAGAAATAAAAAGCCATTACATTGGAACAATTACAGGAGAACATAGTCCCGGAGAGTGCTTCTTTTTCTGGGATTGTCTCTTCCTTTTTTGTCTTGTCGCGCTTCTTTTCATGGTCGCCCATTTGTTTTTTTTCCCCGTATCGAAGCACCTAACTATATTTCTCCCTCTCTCTCTCTCTCTCTCTCTCTCTCTGTCTATTTATGTCCTGCACAGCGGCTCTTTGATTTACTGTTTGCGTTTGTCCATCCTTTCAGGCCAGAGCCAGCTTTTCTCTCAGACAGGCGAGGACTTCTCTCACCTCCCGGTGGGTGTTGCCCTTCACGGTCTCACTAAGATCTATGGTGAGCGGGTAGCCATTCAAAACCTGAACGTTTCCTTCTACGAGGGCCACGTCACATCGCTGCTCGGTCACAATGGCGCTGGCAAGACTACTACCATGTATGTTAACCCTTTCATACACCCTGTAACCTGATAACATGATAAGCTGTCCACTGTAGTAACTGCTGTCCCTGAAAGGGTTAATATCAGCCTGGATTAAAAAAAAAAAAAAAAAAAAAGACCAGTGGCCATCTGCACTCTCCATTCAAAATATGTACCGAATACAAAATGGTCACATTCAGTTGATACTATCATCTAATCTTCGAAATGTGACATTTTTCTGTGTGATTAGGTCTCTCCTCACGGGTCTCTTTGCACCATCATCCGGCAGTATCGAAGTGTACGGTCGAGACATGCAAACAAACTTGGATGACATCCGCAAAGATCTGGGTGTTTGCATGCAATATGACGTTCTCTTTGATCACATGACCACCAAGGAGCACCTGCTGCTCTACGGCCAGATAAAGGCCCCGCACTGGTCGCGCAGGGAATTGCACGAGCAGGTCCGAACGTAAGTGTTTAGCAATCCAGGGTCTCACGAATGCCTACGCTTACTTCATATTGTTTTTACTGAGGTTAAACTTGGGCCCTATGGATCGCGTTTTGATTCGTCCACGATTAGCAATCCAGGGACTCACGAATGCCTACGCTTACTTCTTATTGTTTTTACTGAGGTTAGGCTGGGCCCTATGGATCGCGTTTTGATTCGTCCACGATGCAATCATGTCATCGAGTGTATTTTGTAGCCTTTAGTTTTCATCAGCCATGGTGAAACAGTGGTCTTTGCTCACTTGACAGTATCCCCACCCCCGCCCCCCCTGCCCCACCCACTCATAAAAGTGAAATGTGGGAAGTTGTTCCAGTGGCTACAATTGAATGCCAATGACACACTGGAGGAAAAAGTTCAACACGGTCGTAGTCAAGCACATTTTATGGCCACACTTAATTTATATGCATCTCGGGTGGTAAAGATAACGTAATTGTTCCACCTGTTACTCTTTGAAATATGCTTTTCGATTTACCATCCGAAGAGCTGGGCGATATTATGAGGTACTTAGAAGGCCATTAGGTGCAAGTAGAGAATACTAATGTTGGCTAAGTACTGGAAGTGCGTCTTGTTCTAGTCCTTTTGTTGTTTTTGTTCTGTGTTTCGGTAATTTAATTTTTTGGAACCCGAGGAGGATCGTCAAGGCATAGAACCATTCCCCAAAGAAAAACGCTATCGCAATGAATATAAACTTGATGTTCACATGCAGGTTGTCTTGAATCTTTCCGCTGATTTATCTTCCAGGATCCTGGAGGAGACAGACATGTACGCTCACAGACACAAGCGGGTGGGCACGCTGTCAGGCGGCATGAAGCGCAAGTTGTCAATCTCCATCGCGTTCATTGGTGGCTCTCACTTGGTGGTGCTGGATGAACCCACCACTGGCGTTGATCCCTGTTCCAGGCGCAGCATCTGGGATATTGTTATCCAAAATAAAAAGCGTAAGTATCTGCTATTTGGACAACCGAGCTTTACTGCAACTGGCCAAGCTTGACCCGAATACATGTGCTGTGTATTTTTTTTTTCGTTATTGTTCTCGCAAGAAACACGAGCAATGATTGTGTATTTTTTTTTTCGCCCAGACCATGCATGCCTTTTCTTTTTAAATTGTAGAGTGAAAGTCAGCCAGGGTTACTTCTGAGCTGACCTACGCAGTGAAGTTGGCAAAGAGTGAGCAGTTTTGCTCTCGGGTGTTTAGCTCGATGCATACACAGATCATCGTATTTTTTTTTCTTTCTCAGGGCACACGATCATTATGTCCACCCACCACCTGGATGAGGCTGAAATGCTGAGTGACCGCATTGCCTTCCTCGAGCGAGGAGGCTTAAAATGCTGTGGCTCCCCCTTCTATCTGAAAGACAAGCTGGGCCAGGGCTACAAACTCACTCTCACCAAAAAGGTCCTTAGTGATTTTTAGTCTGCACGCAAGTCTCAAGTGTCTCAATTCAGTGTAATACAGTAATGACAGGTTGGTGCGTGGATGCTCGGAGGTAATCCCTCAAATGCCATCATGACATCAAATACTGTATTGTTATTATTAGGTGACTGCGTTCACAATAATCATTTTGTATAGAAGACAAAAAAAAAAGTGTTATTTGGTAAAGGCTTGGAAACAGCCATTCATCACGATGCTATCCAGCAGCAAATGCTTAATGGTACAGGGTGTAGAATTTACTGCCACCTACTGGTGAACCAATAGAATGCGATACATAGAATTTTAGAATTCCCTCAAGTGACGGACCAAGTGCATGGTGGTTGGTAGACATGCTGGAGTCATCATGTTGAGGAACTATATCCGCTAAGTTTGTCTACTTCAGGTATCGGTAAGCGGTTGCGGAACGATGTCCGCTAAGTTTGTCTACTTCAGGTATCGGTAAGCGAAAGATGGCGGCGAAACATGGCAGCCTCCTGTAGGGGAGGTGTTCCTTATGTAATACAATTTGTGATTACTGCACCTAAAATAACATTTTTTAAAATTTCGTTACGTCATTTTTTGCACGTTATTGAAATGAATAGTGGGTTTTTGAAATAATGAAAATTGAAAATATTTTTTTACAGAGTGCCCATTTTAAGAATGTGATAGCTCAGCTTTTAACTGAAACTGAGTGAAGCATGTTATAACCGTTTCGATGCAATGAACGCACACATTTTTTGCCTTAACATGGCGGCCTCCTGTTGGGGAGGTGTTCCTTATGTTTCGATGCAATGAACGCACACATTTTTTGCCTTTTTGCCACTTGAAGTGAGTTTAATTATAATTTTTTTTTGGGTCATTCGACCGAAATTACAGCATTTGTTTCATAACCACTTCAGGTGCAGATTCACGAGGCCGAGCGCTTTGACGACGCCGAAATGAAGGCCTTTATCCAAGCGCATGTACCTGAAGCCCGGCTAAAAGAGGCTCAGGGGGGTGACTTGATTTACTCCCTGCCCCCATTCACCTCATCCAGTGCCTCCTCGTATAGCTCTCTTCTGACGGCGCTGGATGCCAACCTGGATGACCTACAGCTGGGAGGCTACGGGATCTCTGATACCACCCTAGAAGAGGTGAGCTCACATGCATCCAAAAGTTAGCATATACGTTAAACAGAGGATCTCTCGTGTGCGTGACACTGACTGCTTCATGAGGCGTTGCCGCTTATTTTTTCAAATGTTATTTTCTTCATCTTTGTAGGTGTTCTTACAGTTGTCGCAGGATAAAAAAGAAAGTGTGCACGAGGAGGATAGACCCTTTTCTGTCTCCGAGACGGTGTCAGACGATGGCTCCATTAAGAGTTTCCCTGCAGATCCAAGTGACGTGATTTTCAGTTCTGACAAAATAAGTAAGTTTTATGCATCTGTTTTATATTCTGTATTTGATTTGTCTCGGGCAGAGTATTAGGACCGTAACAAAAATAACAAAATTCATGATGGGGATAAAATCTGCAAGTAAAAATGTTCTCCGTTCTATGACCAGCATAACCTTTTGAAATTGTTTGATTAATCTTTGCACTATTGGCCAATTTTTCATTTACAATGTGACCCTAATACTTCTTTGAATTTAGATCTTCTTCCATCCTTTTCTCAACCCCTGCCCCTCGCAAACACTGTACTTGAACTGTTTTAGGATTTGTTCATCTAATTAACAGAGAACAGCAAAGTAAGCGAGTGACTCAATTCAGTCTTGTGTTTTTTTTTTTCACACCATGTCCTCCAGACTTGACTCGCTCCAGCAGAGCACGAGGCATGGCCCTCGCCTGGCAGCAAATCAAAGCCATCCTGATCAAGAGGTTCCATCACAGCCGCAGAGACTACAAAGGCATGATCTCCAAGATTCTACTTCCTGTTCTCTTTGTCACATTCGCCATGGGCCTGGGATCCATCAACAATGATCTGCGGCACCATTCGGAGCTGGAGCTTAGCCCCGCACTCTACCACTTCAGACCAAGTTACTCTTTTTTCAGGTCAGTCCTCGTGGAGAACAGGATGGACGGTAGTGCTAACGTGAATGCGTAAAGAGACGTCACGGATGTGGTTTGTGCACAAACCTTACGTTTCCAATTAATGTACCTCAAGGAAGCACCACAATCGTTCAAGTACATCCCGCAACAAGGCAATTTGGTTTGGATGAAATATTAATGAAGGGCTGATGTTTCTCGTTGCTTGAATTGGCTCAACGTGTCCCTCCCATCACTTTTGAGGTACCACAAAGTTGAGCATCTTTGAAGGGCAGACATGCCCTAATGGGGGAAACAAAGACGGAGAATGCGATGTGTGTCGATGCAATGCCCGATCAAAGTGACATTCAAAGTGTCAGTGGAGGTTGTCTTTGCCCCGAGAAGTGCCGCTATTTGATCAAGGATAATACCAAAGAAAATGCTGAGGTGTCCTTCCAAGCACAAGTTCCATCCGTGGTTTCAGTATCCACGGTGAAGATTGAGATACAAGATAATTAGATTTGTTTCGACAATTTCAAAATAGTTGAGGTCGTTTTTGACGAGAGTTTTCAAAAGATCTAATTCTTTTTATCACGATTGATCAAACATGATCCATTCTATTCCCTGTGACATGACTTTTCACAGCAACCAGAATGATAAATCCAGCGAGCTAGTGGAGACGATGATGTCATTCCCAGGAATGGATAACAGTTGCCTCGACCAGTCCCACAAGCCGTATGTAAACCCAACAACATATCTAACAGTCGTTTCTGCTTGATCTCATTCTCATTCTTCCCTTGCCTTGTTTCATTTTACTCGTCTGCCTCTGTCCAATTTTCAACAACTCGGAGTCTCGAGCGTCGTTCTTATTTTTCTTGTTGCCTGGCACTGTGTTGTGCACGTGAGTGAAAGCCTACAGCGGAACCTTGCAGCTCAATAGCGTCATTTGTATTCCATAAACAGCGGCCGTTTATTGCCGAAATTTTTCCCTTACTGTCACTGAATCACTGTTGAGACTCAACGAAGTACACGTCTGAGCCATTTTGAAGCTCCCCGCCCCCGCCCCCCTGAGAAATAGCGTAAAAATCCAAAGGTGCAATAGAGATTGAATGTTTTACCTTCAAATGACAAGAGAGAGAAAGCGTGCTGCAGACCTTCACAAATCTGCATCCATCCTTGTCCTTTTGCTGCAGAGAAGAAAACCTTGCAGGATTCCCTCGCATGAAACAAACATATTGCTTGCACCTTGTGCAGAATCCAAAACGTCTTTTTTTTTTTTTTTGGAACACAAAAATGTAGTCATATTGCATCGTCAATGAGGGAAAGCCATTTTCAACATTTTCGATGGATCAATAAAAAAAAATAACATCCCTGCGTGGGGCTTGAGCAATACTATCGATTTGTAAATATGACGTGACCGCATTTGGATTTCGAAGGTTTCCGAGTGACAATATGCAATACCGAATGCAAGATTCTGAAGCAGCAGAAGATCATAACTTGACTTTAAAATCAAAACTTTCCCAGTGGATTGCCATCAAGACTTTGAGCATTGCAGTGACGCAGTGACGACCCCCGGCTGGTGCCCCACCAAGACCACTCAAGAAACCTCAATGTGAAGTGTAAAAATGCCGAGATGCCGAAGAGCTAAAATATCAAGCTGCACACATTGAGATTTCAGAATATTGCTCAATAGCGTGTACAAAAGCGGTCAACTCTTGAGTGCTTGCAGCTGCATTACTCGACGAGTGGTTTGCTCTCGGCTTGCTTTCCATCTCTTTGGCTGTGTGCGTCGACTCCATCACGTCAACCCTTGTGAAGTCACATTCTGGCTTGCGACTGCGCTCGCGTCGTGTTACCGAGCCACCATTTCAACTCAGTGAATGTTTTTTTGTTTTTTTTTTAAAGTCTTTCAAAGTTTTGCACGAGCCAAACTAACAGCTGGAATTCCGGAGGGAACAGTTCCAAATCGTTGAGTGACTGCACATGTACCCCTAAGGAGCAGGTGAGCGACAGTTGGAAATTGAACTATGAGTGAGAAAATGTCATGGCCTCACGTTTGTTTCTTTCCATGCCGACATTTGCAGCTACGGTGTGATTTTGTGATTTTTGGTTTCATTCCAAAACATGCAGATTTGTCATGGGGAAAGATTCAAGCCAGCCAGTCGGCGGATCCCGTCTTCGCAGATCGTCTACAACCTCAGTGAAATCGATGTCGAGAATTACCTGTTGACCACAGCCAATGGCTATATTAGGAACAGGTAAGTACCGTATTTTCCGCTCTATAAGTCGCACCTAAAAGCATTCTATTTTCTCAAAAGCCGACAGTGCGCCTTATAATCCTTTTGTATGGATCGATATTCGATGTTCTGTGAAGCGCTTTGTTCCAGTTGCAGCAGTTGTGAAAGCTGTATATAAATAAAGCTGTGCTTTGTTCCAGTTGCAGCAGTTATGAAGGCTCTATATAAATAAAGCTGTATTGTATTATTGGATTCCCTTTAGCGTAGCTCCATCTAGTGGATGCGTAATGCAACCGCAGCCACTTTTGTAGCTTCTATTCTACGCCTGATATATGCAAGCAGCTTTAAAATAGGCCATTCATTGAAGGTGCGCGTTATACTCCGAAGCGCTTTATCATGCAGAAAATACGGTAGTAAAATAAAAAAAAAAAGACTATTTATTTGCGAGTTTCTCCCCTGTAAACATCTTTTTGCAGCTCTTTATGTGAATGAGTCTGAAATAGCTGGCAAGGAGCCTTAATGTTGAAAAATGTTGATTCCTGAAATGGTTTTGTATCTCAGATATGGCGGGTTTGAATTTGGAATGCCGTTCCCACCCGACCTGGAGACGGATCTTCTAGCCAAGTCTGATAACGCCACCTTATCAAAGGTATCGTTCGCTTCCTGCTGCATATCTGATTAATTGTCATTAAATCGATGCAAAGGAAAAACGTGACAAGCGAAGTTGTCCTCACGTGATCGTGTGCGCGCGGGTGTGTATTTGTGGACGAGTGTAGGTTTGGTTCAACCCTGAGGGCTACCACACCATGCCAGCATATTTAAACAGCCTCAACAACCTCATCCTACGCTCCAAACTTCCAGCAGATAAGGATCCAAAGAAATATGGTACTGCATACTGTGAATTAATAATTGATTTGACTCGATGCTTGAATACTATTCGACACTACTCGTATGCAGACATTCCATGTTAGCTCATGATGTTGCCCGGTACAGAAGCTGCGAGATCCCGGGAGATTACTTATGAGTGTAATGATCTGTTAGCTTTGGACATGTAAGTTCTTACCCTTATGTAATAGACTTCCCACTCGAGGTTACAACCTGCCCACGGATGTGTCATCACACTCCTGTTCACCTAAAACACTGCAATCGAGAGCCGATCCGATCCATTCCGCAGAGAGTTACTCAACCGTTGATGGGCAATTTGTGTCAAACAGCTACCAATGCAATGCAACACGACTTTATTTATTACACCGCAGTTCACAACAGCTGCGGCCGTAGCAAAGCGCATTACGCGTAACGTAAAATAACAAGAATGCACCAACAAAAGAAAATGAATCATATCAACACATATAGAGTAGACACCAGAAGCCAATGGAAGAGTCTCATGTTGGGTCAAAAGTCAAGGAATAAAGACAGGGAGGGGGCTGGCTGAATATTTAACGTACTGATCCAAACTGAATAAGGCGCTCTCTTTTTTATGGCACTCACTGTGTGTTTATTATTGCGATAATAGACATGTTGCTAACATTCTGCTCCTTTTCTGCCTCTTTTTTTGTTGCAGCTATTTCAGTATCCAGTCAGCCCTACTTTGGTCGGACGGATGAAGAAGACGTCATGTAAATTATGCTTCTTTTTTTTTTCCATTCTTACCTTTTCCAAAATAACACATCAGTCGGAGAACTAGCAAAAACTTCTTTCCTAAAATGAATGTTCAGAACATAAGGCAGAGGACTGGTTTGGTTTGGTTCCACGTTTAAAATGTACGTGTTCCGGTAGACCACACCGATAAATGATTTAGAAAGTGGAATGAAATGGCGACCTTTGTTGTCGCTGCTAGCCTGGGAGGCTGTTCCAGCTCAAGCAGCCATTTCCTCCTCCATCCATGCCGATATTGATGTATTGATTTGGCCTCGGACATTTTAAGGATACACTCGGCTGTTTTCAGTCAGATATCTTGATTCTCACATTGTGGCAGCTCTTGGGATGCACTCCGAAGCTCGAGTTAAAGCTTGACCGTGCTGATAATGAGCCTGATCAGTCGCTGCTGGCCATGTATAGTAATTGGAGCTTTCTTATAGCTTCCGCCAACGTCTTATGCTCCTTCTGGGGTTTTTTTTTTTTTCCTTCTTCGCACTTGGTCACTCAGCTTTGGCTTTATCCTCTTTGAGCTGCAGGCAGCTGATTAGAGTGATTTTTCTGGCCTTGGCCAACTTGGAGAGGTTGTACAGGAACAAGTAGTGATGTCATGCCCCCCCCCCCCCATAAATAAATACATAAATAGGATGTTTTCAAGAGATATTGTGTTGTGAGTTGGATTGTGCAGTCAATTGAAAAAAAGTCTCCAAACCCATTTCAAATCAATTAATGACTTGCTAATTTATCAGGATTTTGAATTGGCATAGTGGAAGTGTTGACAATTGTATGTTTCCTGGTTAATAAAAAAAAAAAATCATATAAAATTAATAAAATAACTTTTTTTTTTTTAACCATTAACGCTTCCAACAAAAGCTATGATAGAAAGATATGAGTGACACGCATAACATTTGATTCTTTTACATTGCTAAAGGATAGAGAGAGAAAAATCAGATGATTATTTGCCGATTTGTGGGGGGGGGGGCGAGGCGGTACGATGTCATCATCTGTTGTAAGTTGTTACATGTTTTAACATGTCAAAACATTTTGCAAAAATCTGCCATTTTTTGGGCAGATTTTCAAAATGCTAATAACGTCTGCCCGATTAACCGGTCATACCCTACACGCAAATGTTCTTCTGGTTGAATGGGTAAACATTCCCACAGACATTCTGAAATCTTGTAGAAAAACTTGCCCAAAATAGTACAGGGTGCTGTAACTTTTTCATATCAGTTACAATATCGAATATTGTCGCTAGTACAGCCACAGCAACATAAATAACAAAGACGAGCAACAGTAACGTCCAACGCGGAGTTCGTAATTCGATGCCCAAAAACGATTCATCAAAACGCTGCTGTTGTATCGTTTCCGCGAGACCACTTGTGAATGATCTCATTTTGTCTTCACAGCACTGTGTCCATCCTCCAGATCCTCGTGGCCATTTGTGTGGTCACAGGCTACTCCATCACGACAGCCAGCTTCTCCATCTACGTCGTCGGCGAGCATCACAGCGGCTCCAAGAGGCTGCAGCACATCGCGGGCATCAGTGAGCCCTTCTACTGGGCCGTTAACTTCCTTTACGACATGGTAACGCCTAATTGCCCAGTCTGTAAATCACGAAAAATACCACCTCATCCATTTAATAACCGATAGCATTCAATAATTTGTCAGTAAGAGAAGATGACCCGTGTCTTTCCCCGCAGATCATCTATCTGATTCCTGTCGTTTTGACCATCGGTGTGGTTGCGGCCTTCCAGGTTCCATCATTTACGGAGCAGCAAAATTTAGCTGCCGTCTCACTCCTTCTGGTGCTCTTTGGGTGAGTCGCGCCTCTCCATCAGCATGGATGTATGATCAGCGTATTGGAAGTTTCCTCCTCTTCATTTGTGATGCAAGAACTCACTGAATTAAACCACAACATTTCAAACTTAAGGCCCGGGGGCCAGATCTGGTCCGCCGCATCATTTAATGAGGCCCGCTAGCATACCAAAATTGCAAATTGACTCCACTTTTAAAAATCTTCAAGCATTTTTTTTTTTTTATTCCCAATCCCCCTTTAAAATACATGTCATATTTGAACAGTTGTTACCGATGCCTGAATTCAAAACCAGTTTTGTTGTGTATCCATAATATGAAGCGAGGCTACATTTTATTTGTCATAATGGCCCTCCGAAGGAAACAATAACATTTACGTGACCCGGACAAAAATTTGTTTGACACCCCTGATTTAACCCTTTCATGCACCCTGTAACCTGATGACATGATGAGCTGTCCACTGTAGCAACCGCTGTCCCTGAAAGGTTTAAAGCATACTAGCTGAATTCAAGATTCCGATCGAATGCAAGCCAGTCAGTCACAGGTCAAATCTAATGCTACTCTATAATTTATTCTATTTTATTGCAGGTTAGTGTGTGAGTTTTTTTTTTTTTTTTTTAATGTAAGCTAAAATAGAGAGCTGTTATACTCTGTGCCTACTACTTATCAGCATTTTCAGATGGGAAAAAAAATAAGATCTAAAACGTGAATCCTTCTCTCGCAAAAAGAATACAGAATACAAGGACGGGTAATAACAATAAATATGAGCCTGGGTGTCATCGCCGAGATTTGAAAACCGATGCGGCAGCAGCATTTAGATTGAAGGTCGACCTTTATCCACTTTGGTTGTAAACACATTTTCACGCCAATAACTGCTTCTCTCTGTTGCATACAAATCGAAAGTCACGTCTGTCCTTGGCAATATTTACATCATTTTAATCCCACTATTTACTGTTCCGCCCTCCCATGCTTTGCTCTGCTGCCAATGGGCGCGAGATCTTCGGAGGCCGAGTCAGCAGTGTGCAACTCATTTATCAGACAGATGTCTCCCTCCCAAGCAATGAATAATCACGCTCCCCCCCATCTGGCTGCCGGCACCCACCTGGTCTGGTTTGCAGCCGTCATGCTGATGTTCTCCGCGATGCTTTGGCACCTGTCCTCTGTCTACCAAGCACCTTTTTTTAAATTTTGGGCTTGGTTCCCAGATGCGATGTCTCTGTTGAGCTCTATTTGTTTTCCTGTGCTACTTTTCCTTCTTTGAATCTATTTTCTCTTTCTTCCCCCTTGTTGTTTTGACCCAGTCGCCTAAACAAGCAGCTTATGTGAGAGGGAAGAGTGGGGCGGAATAAAATAAGGTTGGGAAGGCAGGGGGGGATAAACTAAGAAGTAATCCATCTTCCTTTCTTTTCGTGACTCGGTGTTTACCATCCTCATCTTGTGATTTCACTCCACCTCGTCAGTGTTTTTAGTACCTGTGTGTTTGTCAAGCGAACAGTTTTTCCTTCCTCGCCTCAGCGCAGTTTCTGAAAGGCCCTTTTAACCGGATTTCATTTCAACCGGTGGACGATTGATGCTCGGTGTCGCAATTTTTTTCTTAAATGAAGTCACCTTCCCGCTGTCAACTCCTCAGGTTTGCCACCTTCCCCTGGATGTATCTCTTGTCAGGCGTCTTCAAGGATCCGGAGATGGCCTTCATCATCTATGTGTGCATTAACCTTTTCATCAGCATCAACACCATCATTTCCACCTCAATTCTCTTCTTTCTGGCGGAAAGTGTAACAAACCATGTCGAGGTCAGCATCATTTCTGGAATTATTGTTGTTATTTTTAATGACACAAAAAAAAACGCGGAATTTGCAATGCCCTGCATGCAGTCAAGTGCATCCGGTGCTGCAATAGCTTATGTGGCGACTTCTGTCCTAATTGCCTCTTGTGGTCTCGCTCAGAAAGAGAACATCCAGAATATCTTCAAAATTTTGAGCGACCTCTTCCTCATCTTCCCTCAATTCAACTTTGGAAATGGACTGATGAAGCTGGCCAGAATGAACGTGGAGGTCCAGCTCCTTAGCGGCTATGGCATCGATGCCTACAAGGACCCGTTCTCCACCGAAGTTCTCGGCTGGATGTACATCTCTTCCATCATCCAAGGTGTAGTCTTCTTTGCGCTGCGCCTCTTACTCAACACGTCCCTCATTCGCAACGTCAGGTGAGAGGAAACAGAAAAGTGACTTTTATCAATGTTTTAATTTAGTCTCAAAGAACTTTTGACCTTCGCATTTCCTATCCCTTTTGAACGTTTTCCAACCATTTTCTAAATTCGATAACTGCCGTATATTCCAGGTCCGATAATTGTCTTGCCAACATTTCCCCTCTGCAGGCACTTAATTTTGGGCAGAAAAAAGGCACCCCTGATGCTCGACGATGATGAGGACGAGGATGTTGCAGCCGAGCGCTCGCGGGTGTCCAGCGGAGCAGCGGGTGCGGACATCCTACAAGTCAACCAGCTCACGAAAATCTATCAGCATCTCAACAGGAAGATTTATGCAGTCAAGAGGTTGTCTGTGGGAATTCCTGCAGGAGAGGTAAGCCTGCCAGCAAGACGTCCTACATTTGGTGGGGGTGACTGCTGGAACTATTATCTCCCAAGTCCCTCTGTGGAGAAGCGCTTGGAAGTAAACTCAAGGGTGATAATGATAAAATCCGGGTGTATACAGGATGTCAGTATTTTGGAAGATGACCATCCAAGTCTTGAGGGAGGTCTACGCTTCACTGGCATAACAAATTCCCAGTTGATCGATTTCAGAAGTATATGATTTACTCGCACAGCCTTGTTTAAATCGCGCTGTTCCAAAAGTGGTTGCATGTCGAAAATTCGGCCAATCGGGTTGAATCAACGCTTCATCTTTTTCCAAAGTGCTTCGGTCTGCTGGGAGTGAACGGAGCGGGAAAAACAACCACTTTCAAGATGCTTACGGGAGACGTTAGCCCCACTGATGGCACTGCACAGATCAGGGACTGGGATGGGTAAGATGCTCATTCATTATTTTTGGAATTTTTTAAAAGCATGGTGGAGCCAGTGAGATGGAAGCATATGGCGCTCTCTGCCAATGTGCTGACTCACATCATCTCCGAGGATGAAGACGTTTTAGCCCTTGCGCCTTATTGTTGAAAGACGGCTCCCGTACGTCACTTGAATTATCCGTGCGCGGTAATGTCACGCTTACATCCATTTAGTCTACTAATAACGTATTTTTCGGATCAATATCTGCGTGTAACAGCTGCCACCTTGTGATTGTTGCTCGATAAAGACTTGGGTCGCACGCATGTTTGTAAAGACACTGACAAGACACTTTAGGTAATGGGGATGGCTCACGCTCCACTGCACACGTCGTGTTTGCTCCATTGCACCAAGAAAGAACACTTTTGGAGTCTCGACACCTGACATTTTCATCTCGGGAATATTTGTCTCAGGAAAATGTACAACGAGTTACCTTGGAGTTTCATAGTTGGCCCTTGAGGGCGGCGCAGTGTAAATTTTACCTTGAGGGACAGACGTTCTCTGACTCTATTGCGTGCCCATGAAAAATGTGTTTCATTTCATAATAAAAGCATTTTATTCCTTGATCTTGGCGTGACTCTTGGATGGATTCTAAGTACACTGCATTTTATGGAGCACAAATTGTAATGTCGCACAAGTCATTATTCATACACAAAAGCACAGTCAGATGTCGAAGCTAGATGAGGCTTTCTAGTCCAAACTCATGGGTCGACTTGGAACAACCTCCACTGTTGAATATTCTGAACGACTTCTCAAATGCGTCTCTCTGTTTTTTGTTTTGTTTTTTGTGTGTGTGTTTCCCCAGGCGGCTGGTAGACATTATGGAGTGCCGGCACATGGGAATTAATATCGGCTACTGTCCCCAAGTGGATGCGCTGGATAATCTGCTCACTGGAGAAGAGCACTTGTATTTTTACGCTCGTATTCAAGGCTTTTCAAACAGAGAGATAGACGGGGTAAGAGTTAAAAGGCCGGGCTGTTTTTCATTACCTTTCCAAGGGAAACGAGAATCTTTCTGAAATGTCTGAAATGAGGTTGGATGCAGTTCGATGCATCCATGCCAAAATAATGAGCAGGTGTGACAATATCGAGTGATGTCTGCTACTTCTCGGGCAGCTGGAAATGCTTCTGTTGTGAGCGTGCGGACTTTTAACTTCGCAGTCACGCTCATTCGTCTGTGGAAAATATTTGAAATATGACTTTGAAGATGACAAGATCTCATTTGAAATGTCACAATGGTGCTGTTTTTTTTTCCTCAGCTTTTTCTTTGTTTATTACTGAGCGTGCTTCTCAGAAATCTACAGAGCTGGTACGCAAACTTGATTATTTGCGTAACAGCAATTATTATTATTATCCCCCTTTTTTTTCAATCCCACAAAAATCTGTATTTTAACAGGGGTGTGTAGACTTTATATTTTTGTATCCACAGTATGTTGTGTGTGTTTGTGTGCGTGTGTTTATGAGAGACACACTTTCGGAGACAGCATGGCCAATGGCTCCGTCTCGCCCCGTATGGCCGCAATGATGTTATTATGGTACTTGGGCCAAATGATGATGGCCTAATGAACAAAGATGAAGATGAGGCTAGAGCTAAGAGTTCTTCTCATGTTGTCTCCCGCTGACAGTCTCCCATTCTTTGTTGTGGATAATGGCCGATGCCTTAATGGAATCATTTCGCATTGGTTTTTGTCCGGCGTAATGCGCTGCACGATGTCAGTTTGGAGGGGGACGAATATGAAATAGTAGCAAAAAAATACATAATAATGTGCATCTATGTCCAAAAAAAAAAAAAAACAGCAAGCCCTATCCTCAAAATCACAACTATAATATCTGTGTCACAATTATGGACACATTATTGTGAATTTGAGAAATGGCACCGTCAACAAAGACAACGTAACGTTTCGATGTGGAGTCGATTCTGATGAGACTCCTCCGCGTTCAACAAAACTTTAATGCATCATTTTGAGGCTTGAAAACCCTGCCGTCTTGATGACTTTGCGATCCCTGCGTGTGGTCTTGCAGGTGGTGAAATACCTTCTCAAAAAGCTGGAGCTGATCTACCATCGAAACCTAACCACTGATGGCTACAGTTGTGGCACACGCAGGAAGCTTTCGACCGCTATCGCCCTCATTGGACATCCACAGATTCTGCTCCTGGTGAGCTTGAGCCGCACTTGGCCGCCTCACTCTGTACCTGGAAAATGGCATTTGAAAGATTTAATCAATTGTGGTGTACTTTTCCGATTTATAAATCGGTAAAATATGATATCAACTACATTGATCTATCTGCTTTTAGGTCCTCATCTATACTGCCCACATACCCTTGAAAACATATTTGTGCGATAGCTGATCGCTATCATCGGCTGCGATATCTTCGTCGGCCATCTCTAAGCATTCATACATAATTACTCAGAGCAGTGGTTCTCAAACTTGTAACACCAAATACCTTCTCGCAAAGGACTTTATGACCAATTGAAACAGGAGCATAGTGGGCCTAAGTTTTCGTCAAAAAACAAGCCCGGTTTTATCCCTAATATAATATTATTGTAAACCACTGTAAGATGATGCATCGTTTGGACAGTAACACTGCTCTTAATGACAGCCAAACAAAAACTACTTTATCAATGATTCATTTGAAATGTCCATCCAATCCAATTTCCGATCCGCTTATCCTCACAAGGGTCGCGGGGGGTGCTGGGGCCTCTCCCAGCCGTCTTTGGGCAGTAGGCAGGGGACACCCTGAACCGGTTGCCAGCCAATCGCAGGGCACACATCGACAAACAACCAGCCGCGCTCACACTCACACCTAGAGACAATTTAGAGTATTCAGTCAGCCTGCCATGCATGTTTTTGGAATGTGGGAGGAAACCGGAGTACCCGGAGAAAACCCACCCAGGCCCGGGGAGAACATGCAAACTCCACACAGAGAGGCCGGCGCTGGAATTGAAGCCGCTACCTCCGCACTGTGAGGTCGACGCACTAAACACTGGAGCACAGGGCCGCCTCATTTGAAATGTATTGAGAAAAAAAAAACATTTACCGAAGTACCGGTTTAAAAACAGTTCTTGCGTTCTTTCTCCTCTTATCTTTTTTTTTGGGGGTTTGAACCATCACTTGAAAACTGTTGCCCTCCTCTCACACGTCAGGATGAGCCGAGCTCTGGGATGGACCCTCGCACCAAACGACACCTGTGGAAAATCATCTCGGAAGAGGTGAAAGGAAAGTCTGCGGTTATCCTCACTTCTCACAGGTTAGAGAATGGCCTGATTTCTTCATGTGTGACAGTGCCGCATATTCCATCCAGTGCTGGTTGTTGCAGAAAGTGTGAAATATTCAACAGATTTTTTTCAAAAACGGGATTCAGTCCTTTATATTATCCAAACCCGGCTTTTGAACTTCTCAATTTGTGTCCGTGTCTCAGCATGGAGGAGTGTGAGGCATTGTGCGGCCGCCTCGCCATTATGGTGAAAGGTCAATTCCGCTGTCTGGGCTCCTTGCAGCACATTAAGAACAGGTTTGTGGCCTCTCGTCAGCTTTACATCCTCAAATAGTCATTTTTGCCTATCACACTTGGCCCATCTCATGTCCTGACCCGCAGGTTCGGCAGTGGCTTCACGGTGAAAATGTACTTGGCGCAGTCTGCCAGCGATGTCAAGGAAATCACTGTTTTCATGCAGAAACAATTTCCCAGCACTTACTTGAAGGTATGGTTTAGAGAGCTGTTGTGATATTTTATCCATCTTCTCCCTTTTTCATCTCTTCTGAAACCTTTTTTGCGCATAATGTAGCTTTGCCGCACTACTTGTCTGTGCCAAATAGCGGGATTGAGTATTTGTCAAATCATAACATGTGCAGCTCATTTAGGACAGGAGAGAAATCGCAGGTACTTGTCTCCAAATTCTGGTTCGGAAATAGAGTAATGGCAAAAGCAAGATTACCGTAAGAACACACGCGCAATAATGTTACCGCATTATCTCAAGACACATAGAGAAGGCTAAGTCCACACCTACATTATTTTTAAAAATGATTGAAGGAATTATTTCATTTTACTACCTGCACAGTAACAACCCCACCCAAAAAAAAAAAAAAATTCACGTCAATGTGGTGTTTAAACAAAATCTTGAAGGACATGACAACACATTCACCAGCTGTCAGGCGCTATTTAGCCAATCAAAAGCCTGAAAAAATAACAGCAGCTGCCCATTTTGACTGAGAATCAGTGAGCGAATAGACCTACATCATAGAAAACACACATTTCTGAAATCTTTTCACTCAACAGCTCCACTCAAAAAAAAACAAACTAGTCATGAAAGCCCTTAACCCTCTCAGGGACAGAGGTTACTACAGTGGACATCTGATCAAGTTATCAGGTTACAGGTTGCATGACGGGGTTAAATGCTAGGTCACCTTAGTATTTGTGACATTTTCTTTCACAAAGAGCATTTACGATAGGAGGATGTTGAAATAATAGGCGTCTGGTTTTCTCATTTCTCATCAGGACCAGCACTCCTCCATGGCGGAGTATCATGTTCCCGTGGCACCAGGAGGTCTGGCCGACATCTTCCAACAGCTGGAGACCAACAAGACGTCGCTGAAGATCAAGCATTTCTCTGTGAGCCAGACCACCTTGGATGAGGTAACACTGAGACAACAGCTGGCAGAGTGAACAGAACTATCTTGGGTTTTTTTTTGTGGATGTGGATCCAGTCGATGCTACAGAGTGACTGAAAAGCGGTAGGAGGGTAAACTGGGACAGTCAAGAAAGCTTGAGTGGGAGTGAAAGACAGAGTAAGGAATGTAAAATTAAGGCAAGAGGGAAGCTGGCAGGTTGGAGGGCATGCCTGAGGGAAAATAAATGGAATATGAGTTGGGGAGAGAAAATCATGTACCCGGTGTTGATTTTCTACATTCTGCTCCTCTGGAGCTCTGGGATTGGAAGATACCAAAAGGAGAAGAAACACAGGGGGGGAGCCGAGGAGAGAAACCAAGCAGAAAATGTGCTGTATTTTAGGGGATTTCAAGGGGCTCAAGAATATTACAATCCTAATCATATTATCGTTCAATCTCTGCAGGTCTTCGTCAACTTTGCCATGGGAAATAGTCATATGAACTCCATCTCAGCTCCCAGCAACAGAGAAGATGATGACCTGAGCCACATCAAAGGAGTCGAGACATAGTGCCGACTGCTCCTATTTTTCTGCAGTGAAATGAGAATCTCATTGTACTACATTTTGTCTTAAATAGAATGCTTTGAGACTGAAGTATAAATTTGTCATAACGAACAATCATGTTTAAAACTCGTAAGATTCAATGTCCAGAGCCACTAGTCTTTCGAGGTCGGCCAAATTCTATTGCTGCAGTTCTCTGCTGCACATTTATGTACCTGCACAGATGATTATTTATTGTTGCCTATTGACTTGAGATTATATTTATCCTACTTGAAAGATGACCTAATCTAGTAATTCTGATATGTATGAAAAATACTAGTCCTGACATAGCTTTTAATTGTTTTTATTTGATTTTGTTGCCACTCAATAGAAATGTACTGCATAGGCTTGCCATAATCACAAAAAAGACTCATAAAAAATATTATTAATGTGCACATCTTCGTCTTAATGTATGTCTCACTTCAAGAATGACTGTTCAAAAAAATATATATCTCCCACTTGTGGACCATTTTATAATGGTCTTGAATGTATTCAGCTAGCTTTTTTTTTCATGATTCAATAAAACACTTTTAAATGCAATTACTTGGAATGCTGCCAGTGTACACAATCATTTTCATTTAAATTTGGCTGACGGTAAACCTGCAGTATTTCTACAGCTGATGACACTGGCTCGAAGGATGGATGGATGCTGGATTTCTTTACATATGAGGTACTTTACCACACTATACGACTGAGAAAGCTTAAAAATAACACTGTTTTGGTAGATGTAAGTTGATTTAATTTGTCTTTGTGCTCTTGTTCCACAGGTGGCACAATTTAAACTTTTTCAGTTGCATACCATATGACAAAATACTTCCACAAACTTGAGAATTAATAATAAAAAAAAAAAAGTACTTTAAAATTGAGCACAGCAGTATTTTTGGGCAACATATTTATAAGATAAGATCAGATAAGATACGAAAGCCTCTATTTGTCTCACAATGGAGAAATTTCTTTCTCATATTTTTGACTGTTTTATTTTTGTTTTTGTTTTAGTTTAGAGTAAATTGCCTCTATTTGTGGGGAATAGGTACGACATAGTAAAAGATTGTGACTAACTACATTTTTTTAGAATTCATTTTAGTAATACCGTAGTTTAAATCGCAAATACAATACAAATCATCTTACATGAAACAATAAAAAAATGCTTACAGATTATTCGTTTTTAAAGAAATTTACTCACTTTGGGCATGCATATATGGCAAAAACACTTCTTAACTTTAAAAGTTCAACGACATTATTTGGAGAGATGTGGCATCCTGGTGTTTCAGGAAGACAGGTGAGTTTTTCAACAATATAGAACCGCGAATATGAGGGGGAAAACTTTTGGGCGTGCACCGGAAAGTACGTCATCGGTTTGGCCTACAGTGACGTCACTCAAACAGGCGGGAGATGCGAGTACCAGGAAATAAGTCGCTTTTTATTTGTTTATGTTAACACTGGGCGTACTTTTTGAAAACCGAAAAAACTTCGAGCATTTGATTTTACAGTCATGGATTCATCTTTCGAGGCGCCAACAAACGACTGGAAAAACACTAAAGAGGCGCTTGCCGACTTTCGACGTCTGCTTCTTTGTTCGAAATGGTAAATTCGGTTTAGTTGTTCCGAACGAAACGTCAACTCAGTTTGCAAAGATTCGGGTAATTTTACGACGTTATATTACGTCGGAATATGACATTTGCGATGCTATTTTCATGACGTTTTATAGGACTGTTGAAAGATCGAACAAGTGCATTTGAACGTAACGGCCAACCACATCTGCTGTTTTCCTCTTAATCCAGCTCGCAGTTACTGAGGGATCCTGTTTGTCTCGGGACATGTGAGCATATGCTATGCAGGTAACGTACCCATTACCTTGTGCACTGTCGGAATGCACACGTAGGTGTAAAACAGTTATGTCTCAAAAGACCTGACTGGCCTTGCCACTCGCGCGCATGCTGAGTGACTGACAGCCGTCACATGCTAACGACATGGAATGGAAGGCACTCGGCTCCATATGCCACAGCGGAACCAATGTAAATGTAAATGGAACTGCAATATGAGATGAGATGGGTTGTGTGTGTGCAAGGTGACGGAAGTTGTTCGTTCACGTAGCAGAATGCAGATGGATGTGTTTGATGCGTCTGAGCAAACGAGTGGCTTTCGATGCCATGCACACCTGTTTTTCTGTCATATATTTACCAATTAGCATCCCACACATAAGCGGTGTATAATAAATAGTCTTTTGTAATCATATTCTCCACCCAAATTACATTGAGCCCGAAAATGGATTTCAATGACTTTTGGGGTATGTTCATTTCATAGGTCGTGTGCAGGCCCACGGGCAGGTGATGGCTGTGTGGTTTGTCACAGCCCTTCCTGGGTGAAAGACATCAAAATTAACAGGCAGCTCAGCAGTGTCATACCACTCTTCTGTGACTTGGAGTCCATGTTGTACCCCGAAAAACAGGCAGGTAAATGTTGCTCAGCCGCAGACTAACTTTGTGATAACTCCTTTGTGATGGTGGCAGAGTCAAAACATTTACGCTATGACACGGTGAGTGGAGAGGTTCTATATTTTCCTGCAGCATCCCTTTAATGACTGTAATTATGCAATGCAATTCCATTACGGTAGGATCTGTCCACAGACTGTGAGGCGAGCATACAAACAAGTCAAACTCAATATTTGCTTTTTTTTTTCAACTTAGAAGTGGCACATCTGTGTTGATGCCAGTTTGTGTGCACTACAAGTCTGGCTTCATGTCCAGCTCCTCCTGAGCATATGAGACTCATTAACACATTCTGAAGTTCAAGTTTCTCCCGGGTAGTTAAAATTTTTGAAAATGCACAAATTTTAAGGTTGCATTTTCTTGTTATCAGGCAAACTGTTTTTTTTTTTTTCATTTTGAAAATTTTTTTTGTTTTCATTTTCAATGCACAGATTCCTCTGAGGTAATGCTGCCACAAAATGAGGGCACTATCTTTCAACGCAAGAGGAACTTCAAGATCTGGCTCAGCCCTCGTAGCCGTAAAATGCGTTGCACGGTGCAAGAAAATCCAAAAGTCTTCATACCTGAAAGCAAGTCTTTAGAAAAAGTGTCTGAAGCACAGCCTGGCCCTTCAACGGCCAAAGTCAGTGACCTGACAGTTTTCAACTTCACCTCATCCTCTCAAGACTCTGGCTCCTCTTCTCCAAAATCCGACACTAAAAAACAGAAGAGGAAAAATGAGAAAAACATTGGCGGCAGAAAGAAAACAAAGCGAAGAGCTTCGAGAAAACAGAGTCGACAGACAGTGAAGAAGAAGCTCGACGCGATAAACAAGCAATGGAGGATTATCGACGATCAAAATACCGTCGCCGAATCAGAGCAGCTTGGTGTAGATGTTGAAAGGACGTCTAACAAAAAGGTTTCCTTCGTTAGCCCCGATGGAGTATCTTACATGAATGCCCTTGAACCTGTGTCTAGCAGTAACACCTTGAGAGACGGATTCGCAGAAGGTGCTGTCACAGAACCTGAGAGCCCAACCCAGCTTTGTCAGAATGAATCCGACGGTCTCTGTGACACACTGCGCGCCTCTGACTCCACTCCACAAAAGATGCCTCGAAAACAGGCCGACCTTTCTTCCCCGGAGCGTTCCTCAAAACGCCAAAGACTGGAGGGAGAGGTTGCCACCCTGGAGACCACGCCAAAAAGGCCAACAACCTCTCCGGGCTGCTGCCGAAAGTCATTGAGTCACTTGTCTCCTGCTGCTATTCATTCTCCGTCTTTGCCCGACCCGCGGTGTAAAAAGACACCCCGAAAACATGGAGGAGAGAGTCCCTCGGTTCCATGTACGACGAGTCGGAAATCCCCCTCATCTCGTGCTTCGATGGGACACTCCAGCCCAGGCACCCCAACAGTCATGAAGAAGAACCACAAAGGAGAAACCCCGCTGCATTTAGCCGCTATAAAGGTAGGCTTTCTTCCTTTTTTTTTTTTTTCCATTTCACCGTCAGGTTTACAGCGTTTGGTTTATTAAATCTCGTTGGTGTTCTGCAGGGGGATGTAGAGGGCGTCAAGGGACTGCTGGACCAGGGAGCCGATCCCAACCTCAAGGATAACGCAGGATGGACACCTCTGGTAAGAGCAGTAACCTGCATGGAATGACTGAAAAACAGACAAGTACTGCTTTCCCCTTTTGCAGCAGTACGTTCCAGTAAACGACAAGTACGTCAATCTGTGTATTTATTTACATTTTGTCTGGATCCCCAAAGACAATATCCAGACTGGAACCACGGTCTAGTTGTGACCATCCCCAGTCTTGCTTCACCAGCCCACTTTGGGAGAGCTCATATATTCCGCGGCTGTCTCGTCTGCATGTAAACGAGAGAGGCGCAATCAGGCGCTTTCTTGAGCAATAAAAATTCAATCATTTCCACTTTCGTAATAGTGGCCCTTCACACCGCTATCAAGCCGAGGTTACATTTTGACAGTTTGTTGCTATTGCATTGCTACCAATGTGATGAATGTAGCTTTGCCGACATAGATGTAAATGTCCCAGAAGTCCATTTGCTGTCAGCCGTGACGTGCGACAACCATCTGTCTCCTTATAGATTTCATACATCTGTTCACATGTGCACTGTTTCATATGAACTGTTCACCTCCTTTAGTTAAGGTTCCATGTTTAGACTATTCATCTGAGACAAAAATATAGCACAGCTAGGCATGGATTCTGACCATGTGATCATATAACTGTGAGTAAAAATATTCTAGTGTCACGCTGTTAAAATTATAGCCGAACATATCATGCCAGTGACTCTCTGTGTCATCCCCCGACAGCCGTGTGTGCAGTGTCACTAGCGTCTAGCTCCCTCCCTCCTTCCTTGTGTGTAACTGCTCACCCCTCGCCACTCTGCTCATCGAGAAGGAGAAAAGCTTGCACGCTCGTTCAAGATGCAAAAATAATCTTTTGAAAATGTGAATGTATTGAACATAGATCATCTTAATATCCCTTCTGAGGGTTTTCCCTGCAATCTGTTGGCCGATTGCAGACTCCAAAGAAAATACCTTATGTTTCTTCCATTTCAGCACGAGGCGTGTAACCTGGGCCATCTGGTCGTCGTGGAGGCGCTCTTATCGAGAGGGGCCCTGTTGAACACTCCCGGCTATGAAAATGACTCTCCGCTTCATGACGCTGTGCGAAACGGGCACTTAGCCGTTGTCAAATTGCTGCTGCGTTTTGGCGCCTCGCAGAGTGTGCTGTAAGTTCTCTTTTTGGCTCTTTTATATCGGCCTTTGTTTCGACATGTAAGACATTATCACAATTTAAATACAAGTCACTAGCAGGCAGTTTTAACTGCGAAGGAAAAGGTGATTCGTCGAAACTCAGCGCTCGACGGCGCGAGGCCAGTTCAAGTAAAAAAGGCGAAATACATCGAGAATGAAACCAGGTTATTCACAGATAAGGACCAAGCGCAGGTGTGAACAGTGAAAATGTCCGAGCACGGTAATTTACCTGTATATGCCACAAAATGGTGGCTTTTTGCCGATTAGACAAGGATATGACTTGACTAAGCTCCGCCTCTAACTTCCAAAATGCTGCAAGATGCCACAAAATGTTGCCAAAGTAAAATTTTAATGTTAGACATGGCTTTGGCCTGAGCTCACAATGCAGAACAGGAGAGAGTTTTTTTTCCGCAAATTAGGAAATTGTGAGACAAATCAAGGTTTTCTTAGCTGTGTGGGTTGAATGCAGAGCATGTTTGCATGCATGTTTGCACTGAGGATTGAGCTATTCACAGATAAGGACCAAGCATATTTGACAATAAAGATGACCTTGACCTTAATTTTATCAGCGGTCGGCCCGGTGGTCCAGTGTTTAGCGCGTCGACCTCACAGTGCAGAGGTTGTGGGTTTGATCCTGGCTCCGGCCTTCCTGTGTGGAGTTTGCATGTTCTCCCCGTGCCTGCGTGGGTTTTCTCCGGGTACTCCAATTTCCTCCCATATTCCAAAAACATGCATGGCAGACTGATTGAACACTCCAAATTGTCCCTAGGCGTGTGTGAGCGTGGATGGTTGTTCGTCTCTGTGTGCCCTGCGATTGGCTGGCAACCGGTTCAGGGTGTCCCCCGCCTACTACCCGAAGACGGCTGGGATAGGCTCCAGCATGCCCCGCGACCCTTGTGAGGATAAAGAAAATGGATGGATGGGTAATTTTATCAGTTTTTTTTTTTTTTAAGCTGCCCCTATCAGTTGACAGTACTAGTTAAGCGGGATGATCAGAAGGTTGGACTGTGCTGCTTCTGCCAGCCCCGTACGATATTTATGCATCGGTCTTCTGATGTCGTTTCAATGGCAATTTATTTGTCTCATCGATTTGATGGCACTGCATTCCTGAGTCATACATTTTCTTTTCTTTAGCTTGTCTGTTTAAAAGCAAAAAAAAAAAAAAGAAAGAAATGCACCAAATGAGTCCCATATTTGAGCAAGATCAATACGCTGTATGTCCTTTCCACGTCCTCTCGTCGCACACGCATGCAGTCAGAAGAGGCAATTCAAGACCAATGTGCCAATGCAATCTCTAATGGAAGCTTTGGCATGCAGCTTTGGGTTTTGTAAATATGTTACTGCAGACGCTCACTGCGCTTCTGGGCAGTCGTGTTAAAGGACCAAATGGCGAAGCATTTGGTCCATCCTCACGAACCAATCTTACAATAGAAATGACTCTATTATAATATTTTCAGTTCCGCCATCTGGAATCTGTTCCATTCCCTTAAGTGTGTCTTTCTAAATCAAAGAGATGGGCTCTTTCTTCCGTGTGTGTTTTTTTTTTTTTTTCTTTTTGGGTGCAACCGCGACCATTTCCTTCCCTGACATTGACAAGTGTTGCCATAGAGCCACTTATGGCTTCCTTGCTCTTGTTTTCGTGAGCAATAGCTTGTGGAAGATTGCTCTTGACTGCCTTCCTCAGCCTTTTTTTTTTTTTCCTCTCAGTTTTCTTGTGCAGCTGCAAACATCGGTCTGTGTGGGTGTTTGTGTGCACGTCAAAATGTGTATTTGTAAATCTTGCTAAAGGTAAGAAGAAGCCAAATGAAACATTTTATGGACCACTGGACCTATTAATTGTCCCACAGTTTTTATCTTTGCTGATGCCCAATTTTTCAAAGACAACCAGCTGGGCTTGGTCCTCCCAATGGGATTTTTTTTTTTTTTTTTTTTCTTTTTTTTTTTTTTTTATTCCCCGCTCTGTTGTCTTCAGATAACACCTGCCTTCTTAGTAGACAAGTATTGATAAGACAACTCGATTGAATTCCGACACAGCGGACTGAAGAGAAACTGCTGCGATGGGCAAAACCTTACTTTGTGGTCCTTTACATAGCGTGGCCTCAGTCAAGTGCATACTGTACATTTTACCAGTGCTCAGTGATCCAAAATACCAGTCACAGCTACTGCAAAAAATATATTAAGAGTGCAAGAGTTTTTTTTTTTTTTTTTTTAACTTTCTCAGGAGCTTTCAAGTCTTTTAATCAACCATGAACCTTGCCTAATGTGTTACAGCGTATGACTGGCCCCAGCACTCTTGTTCTGTAGATTGTCTTCGTCGTAGTAAATCTTCTAATTATGCGTGCGCCGTGCGATCTCTGAATAGTCGTTACATTTTGAAACATCTTCATAGTAATCTTCACGGCAAGCGGCCTGCAGACTACGCTGAAAGTCGGGAGATGCTGGAGGTGTTCCGGGAGGTGTCTGAGGGAGCCCAAAATGCCAGCGCATCTTTGAACAGCCCGGCCAGTCTCTCTGTTGTATGTCTACTTTTTATTATTTTTTTTTTCCGCTGAAATCTAAGTGAGAAGTCTAAGTTCTAAAATGTTTGTCCTCGCACAGGTGGACAATTGTGCAAAGCCAGAAGAAACGCTTTTGTTTCTGTCAAGCAAGCTGTCGCAAACAGAGCAGCATCAGTTCGCGAAGCTGAGTCGCCTTTTGGATGGAAGGATCGCAGATGCCTTTACTTCTTCAGGTTAGCGTCTTTGTACTGGAGACTAAAATCTGATTTTGATTTTCGTTCCCTTGAGACAAATATTGCAGTCGACGTGCACAGGGTTTCACTCACGTTTTTACCCTCTGAAAAATGAGAGGTTTTCTGTGCTTGGAACATAGTTGATTATCACGACCGCAAAGCTATTTTGTGGAGCAGGTCTGTGGAAAACCCATTGGTGCATTTTAAAAATTGCTTCTAATCAACACAAACAAACAGGCTCTTGGTTTATTTTTTTGCCCTCCGACTGAAGGAGAAAGAAAACTTTTAACTTGTAAGACTTTTAATTTGAAGAAGCTGGCCAGACACGTTATGCTAACATTCCAGATTTTTCAAACATCTTGACATATCCAAACGGAACTGCCCGCCCGCCGCCTCCTTTGGCTTTTAAATATTGTTTATGAGCATCTACTGTACACTTGCCAGCACATCAAAATTATTGCCTATAAAATTGCTCACCGTTGATCACCGTCGCTCTTAATTTATTCCCATTAATACCGTTTCAAACGCCGTTTAGTCAAGGATTTCCTGCACGTATTGCAAAGTCAACGCGGTTCGCGCTATCGCTGAAACGCAGGCGTAATTAAAGTGTTGTGATGGCTCCTTCCATCATCTTAGTGTATTGCCTGTGAGAAATGACAGAAAGCAAGTCCTATTGAAATTTGTCCACATTAAACCTTTGGAGGTCTTTTTTTTTTTCCTCCCCAAAGGATTTTTACTCAAATTGAAAGGCGACAAATCAACAGCGAGTGCAGCATGTGATAGGTTTTGCCCTCCAGGTGTAATTGGTCGGGCTTCGCTCTAAGCATCGCTGATGTGAGAAGTACAAGCAATAAGCTTGAGTTAAAATTTGGACTGCCCTCTAATCACATTTTCTGATTGCCTTCAGGCCGTCTTGTAAATCATTCAGAACCAGAGATGGATGTGGAAGCCAAAACAATCACAATGATGCAAGGTTTCTTTCGAGAAATGATCGCTTAGACAGGAGAAGGCAAGAAATAGTCAATCCGGAAAAAATAGGGTCCACTTTCAGAAAATTAAGGCATGCAGTTTCTATTATTTCATTTTTTTTTTTTATTCATAAATGTTTATAGTGGTCAGTTATACTTTTTAACATTGACGTTCCCCAACTCAATGTAGACTCATATCCACCCCGATGGTCCCATCGGGCTGCTAACGTGATGTTTTTATGCGTCTTGTCGTCTCCCAGTGAGCCACGTTGTGGTGCCTGAAGGACCGATGCCGAGCACTTACTCCGCTCTACTGGGACTTCTTGCAGGCTGCTGGATTGTAAAATACAGTTGTGAGTAAAAGTCTCATCATGTTGAGTAGCTCCCCATTGATATTTTGAAGCTCATGACAACGACCATGGTCGGAACTTTGCTAAATTCTTCATGGAGTCTCATTCGGACGGATGTTATCCCAGCTATTGTGAATTGAAATGAAATGCCATTTTCCAAGCGGTAACCGTAAGGAAGGGTTTCCGTGCACGGCAAGTTGTCGTAAAAGCTCAACTGTGAAATAATTTTAGACAATCCCAAATGAGCACACTGTTAAATCTGCAAAAATAATCTTGCCAATTTCAGAGGCACTTTAGAAATCGAAAAATGTACGTATTTTCCTTGGACTTTGGAAAACACTTAGGACCACTTTTCTGTGAGCAATTTTCAGGTGCCTTGTCCCTGTCTAAATATTAAACTTGTCTGATCTGCCACATCGGGCTAGAGTCCGACTGTGACACATTGTGAGGAATCAACACGGCGCAGGTTTTCAAGACTACTGGCAAAAATTCTTCTTAGCCTCTTTTCGGAGTTTGACATTTACAAGATTGGCCAGCAAGCCTTGCATCATGACTGCATATTACAAGGGGGGGGGGGGGGCAACATGCTGACTGTCACTGTCATAGCGTCACTCTTGAATGCTGGATCCATCGGTGTCATTTCTTGACCATGTCAGTCTAGAGTAGCGTGGCCACTTGGATTCTTTTCCACAAGGGGAGCCGTTTTGAGCTGCAATTCCTATCTTAACGTGTCACTTTGTACAATACGATGTACCAGGAGAAAGTGAGAGAGAAAAAAAAAAGAAAACCCTTTTTTCATTCCCACCGGCTGAGCAGCCGGCACAGCTCGTCGCCCCCATGACAGTCACAATGACGTGCTATCCGTTTTTTGTCCACGTCCTCCCTCACATAAGGCAGCGCAGCTGTCATCGCCACCTGTCTTTGTACGCCACCGCCGTCAACCAGGCCGAGCCCCCGTGTGCCTCTTTGGATTCCAGAGCAACACCTCAAAATAGAGTTCAGTTGGAAACTGTCACGGTGCTCATTAAACGAACGCTCTCGATTGTAGAACAAAAGCTCTTGCCAGACAGAACTTGGCCAGTCTATATTTGATACAGTCTGAAACTCATAGGTCAACGCCGACAAAACCAAGCTGTAGAATAACCATGGAGACTGTTTGTGATGCATCTCTTCTCTGAGCGACCAGGTCAGACCATGTCTAATGACACGGCTTCTTGTATTTTTCTTCGTGGTTATTTCTGCGATAAAATCACTTTAAGTTTGAGGTGAGAGAGAAGTAATGGCTCCTTAGATGCGTCACAATTCAGCGTTCGGTGTTGGTAGCAGCAATTAGCTAAAGTACTAATTACTCCGGCGCATTTAGTGCCGTTATCTGGAGCAATTAACCACAGCGTGTGTCTGCTGGAGCCTGTTTGACACGTGCTAAATGAAAGTGCGCGGCATACGCTCATTGGTATGCACAATATGAAAATACAGCCAAGTCCTAACGCTATCTGCTAACACGTGCATTGGAGATTAGCTCAGAGAGGCTCTTAGATAGGAAACAGTTGTGAAATTTGATTTCGTTTCTTAAATATAATGCAGGTCTACTCAAATGACTTTGTGGACTCGCGTTACCGACATGGAAACGAGCGATCAAAAACACAAAAGGTAAAGACGGTGGGAACCCAACCTAGACTACAGTGAAACTCCTCTACAACGAAATCATGTTTGCAGCAAGAAATTTTTCACAACAGCGGGTTTTTCACTGTAGCAAATTTGATCTCAGATGTAAGCACACACACACCCACACACACAAACGTATGTGTACACGCACACACAAACGTTTGTGTACTCTATTTTTATTCCAATAGTACATAAGTATGAGCACACACTTATTTGACACTTCATATTGTCAGTGTAGAAAGAAAAAAAGGGAAAGAAATTGCAAAATTTACGATCAGCATTCACTTTCACTTACATCAATTTCTTGGAAAATGTCTTTTATTTTGCTTGCTCCGTCTTTCATTTTGATCACTTTTACCCTCTCTTCCAGCATCAGAGCTCTTCTTGTCTTAGCTGCTTGACATCAAAAGGTCCGTTTTGTAGCCATTTTAGCAATGCAACGTCCATCCTCGTCTGAATCTAACAATAACAAATACTTCCTGGCCTTCGAGAGCTAACTATGGCCATCGAGGACTACGAAGCGTCCCGTGGGTGTTTTTAGCATGATAAAAAGTAAAGTAAATGTCCGTCGAGCCATAAGCAATTTACTCTGAGCAGCTAATCGGATGCTACGGATCTAGCTTCAGTATCTACACACATAGACAGTGAGGTCTATGTGGCCTCTTGGCCAATCGGAGGCCAGGATGATGCTCGGTAAGCCAATAGCAGAGCAGCTATGAGTATGTTGAGCCCAGGAAACTCGCAGCTGTGACCGAAATAAACATCGTTCACTATGTAAACCAGTGTGGTGGTTGCTGTTGCCTTTTTTCGAACGAAGCAGTAGAGGTCGCTGTTGGATAAGACTTCGTTGTAGTGAATGTCTTCGCGAGGCTGGAGCAGACAAAATGATTTCGTATAACGCAACAGGGGGTTTTTCGTCGTATGGGGGGCAGGAGAATGGCAATTGTGTTAATGCATGAAGATTTTTTCACATAAGGGGGTATTTTCGCCCATGCAGGTTTCGTTCTAGAGGAGTTTCACTGTACTCTGTTACTATCCGATGACTGGATGTCATCCTGACTATTAACACAAAGGTAACGACCAACTGAAATGGTGAGCATGAGTCATTAGCTCCCGATTTAGGCTAGCAAGTAGGAAAATGAACGTATGGCTGCTCAGACTTTTATTTTACGTGCTTACTTGCAGTTTAATTAACAGGAAGCTGGCTGTCACAAAGCTCAAATTTAACTCCGAGGAGACAGAAAAAAAAAAGTGTGAGATACATACAAGGGCTGCGTCATTAACTTGATCATGCTGTCGGCATATATATATGTCAAGCAAATGCCGTTTTGCCAGACTTCCAACTCATAAACCACATTAGCTTTGTCGTGCCACTCTTTCAAGTCAACATAATTAGCGGCGGCTTTGATTTTTCGTTGATGCTAGGGGTGGAGGCATGTCTGCAGGCGGGCAAGCGGATGCCAGAAAGCGAGCACGAAGCGGGCGAAGGCGCCCAACGGAGTCGCGTCAACCGACTCAGCTTGGTAAATAAGACACAGACACGCATTGCACAAGTATTGGTGACCTGGACCGACTGTATTGGTTTGTTTGGGTATTTTTTTTTTTTTTTTTCCATTTGGACAGTACTGGCACATTAATCAACACAAGAATGAAAAGATATTGCACCGGACTTAGCATAAATACTAGTTTTCAGCCGTAGTCCCAAGGCAGGTTTCTAAAATAGCACAGTGAGACACATAAAGGTTTAAAACCACAATGACAGAAATCCATTCATCCATTTTCCGATCCGCTTTGTCATCACAAGGGTACGGGCGGTGCTGGAGGCTGTCCCAGTCGTCTTTGGGCAGTAGGCGGGGGACACCCTGAACCGGTTGCCAGCTAATCATACCTAGGGACAATTCGGAGTGTTCAATCAATCCGCCATGCACGTTTTTTGGGGAATTTGGGAGGAAACCGGAGTACCCGGAGAAAACCCCACGCAGGCCCGGAGAGAACTATGACAGAAATAAGAACTACGAAATAGGTACTAGAAACAAACAAAAGAAAAGGACTGCAATTGTAGACATCTGTTTTGGGACAAATGTTAACAGCATGACTGAAAATGTAGACAATTATGATTTAAAAAAAAAAAAAAACTGAACCAGTGCAAATCTTCCAAATGTTTTCTTTGTGGAATATCATCGGCCTACAGGATCCTTATGTGTAGGTTTATATTTGTGCTCATATTATGATGGTATATTCATAATTCTGACCCCAAAAAATTATTCAGGTTGGCGCCAATAGTCCTTTGGACTCGCTTAAGCAAATTTTTCCATGCAAATGGGGAAATGTGCCTGTTTTACTGTTTAATAAACGAAAGCTCCAAAAGTGCCATAAATGTGCCTGTAAAAAAAAACAAACATTCAAATAAAAAATAAAATAAAAAGTAGTTTTAAAACTCTCTCTGTCAAAGCAAGCACTTGAAACCATTTCCTCTTACTCCGTGTCACTTGTAGCTCCCGCCGCTGTTCGACGGCTGCTTCTTCTTCCTCTTGGGCTCTTTTAAGTCGCCCAGAAAAGATGAGCTGGCCAAGCTGCTCCGCGACGGAGGAGGTCAGCTGCTGAGTCGGCGACCCAAACCCGACAGCGATGTCACTCAAACCCTCAGCGCTGCCGCCTACCACGCTTTGCCGGGATCCGACCAGGCCCTCTGCACTCAGTACATCATCTTTGACCGCCAGGGTCCTCACAGGCCCGCGGTGGTTCGGAGGGGCAAAGTGTGGTCTGCCCCTTCCACCTGGATCATCGACTGTATCACATCTTTCCGACTTCTCCCTGTACCAAACCTTTAATCGCCGTCAGGAGTTTTGACACCGGCTTTTGCCTCTCCTGTTGGTCGTTTCATTCATGCCTTTTGAATGTCTGTTGAAACGAAATGATCCACTATTAATCATGGAGTTCTGAAAGGAAGAGTAAATGATGTTTGATTTCATGCAATCAAAACATAAGTCTGCCCTTGAAAGTGTGGGAACCAACACACTGTTGAGTCGACGTGAGAGGTAAATATTCCCTCCGCTCATTTTCACAATATCACACTAAATGGGCAGGTGTGAGTAGATGAAAAAAATGTGCTTGCAGACCTCTGTTGATCACAAATCAGGATTTGTGCTTGTGAATATTGAACAGGCTGAACACGTATGACTTGATTTTCCAAGATGCCCTCACACGACAATAAATGCCTCACGATCCTCTTTTAGAGACATCTGACAATCTGTGCTCACAGTAGGCCTGATTATCAACGTGTATTTTCTGTGCTCTGCTCGAAGAAATTGACTTCGAGCTCATTTTAGCTGACAAAACAAATTGAAAGGCTTTTTGACTACCAGGAGCTACGCCTGCATTTATGACGTGGCTTTTTTTTTTTTTTTTTTAATGAGTTTATTATTTTTTTGACAGGTACAGGACAGTATGGGGCAGAGATCAATTTAAAAACAAACCAACAGCACCATACAGAATGGAGGTCGTGGAGAGGTCAATTGTGGGGAGTCGGCAGTTTTGGAGGTTGAGTTGTTTCCGCTAAAGGTGGATTTGGTTCATGGAAATTGTGGATGTCAGAGGTCTCCGCTATAGAGACATATTTTCTGTTGTAGAAGGTTGTGGCTATTAAGAATTCTCGTAGCCCGAAGATTCTAAACAGATGTTGACCTCAAGTGTATTTTGTTGGTTTTGTCATCACAAAATATGCAACGCATTCCTTGTGTCTGTCTTGCAAACTGAACAGTAGCTTTGAGCAACTCCTGATTTAACCAGGAAAAGATAATGAAAAATCTTTTTCAAAATGCAAGTGCAAAGTCTCTGAGTGTGCTTTGTTACCCTAAATTGGATGTTATAAAAATGCAGATGAACTGCTGCGGCAACGCATGAGGAGAATAAACAATCGTTTTGTTAGAAGGCTGTGTATTGTGAATACAATAAGGATGTGTAAATTGTATTCAAGAGCTACCGGGCAGCTATTACAATGCACCTAACTGCTATTGATTCCTTTGTGCTTGCTAAAATTTCAGTCCTCGTCCATGCCAAGCTGCAGGAGGCTGTTAAAACGATAAGAGGCAAGGAAGCGCTTCTAATGAAGCCACACTTTATGTCCCGGAACTCACAAAAACATGCATATTTGCTCACATCACTCTTCTCCCGCCTCCCATCGAAAGACACTTGATTATTTTTTTAACGTGAAAAGGTGAGGTCATACTTTGGAAGGCTGAGTTTAAATGAAAAATTGGTACACAGAACAACGCTGCGCTTTTGTGTGAATGCCGAGGGAAAAGTATGCACTGCTGGTTGCCTGGAAAATACTTGTAATTTGTCATAAATTTGCCTCCTATTAATGGCCCATTTACAGCATTACAGTCTCTTAACAGACTACAGCAAATGAAATGTTGCGGAGCGCACTCTGCAGAGGTCCAAGAAGTGGTGTAAAGTATTACATTGGGCTGAACTCTCAACACACACGCAAAGATGCACACTTGTTATTATTACACCTATTATTTGTCTGCAAATTTGTTCATAAATCTGTGTTAGTAAGCATTTTTATTTGCCGAGAAACTTCATTCACTTCAAAGTTGTGATATCGACATACTGTGAGATTCTCGTCCGGACTCGACATTATTGACTCACATTTGACTCCGACTCATTGGCATTTGACTCGGACTTGTTTCGGATTCGGCCATGGATTCCTGAAAATTAACATCATTCAAAAGAAACTTTTAGTTGTTTAGATGATCAAAACTTGGTTAACCCCACGTCCGGCTTTCCTGAGACCAAGCCAATCTGTTCGATTTGTGAACCTGTTCTAACAAACCGGATTCAAACGACCGGGATCGTTCTCGGGCCCGCGCAAAGCTCGCTGATGAGCTCATCTTTCGAATCAGGTGTGTTGACACGGTGACATGGAAAACACGCAGTCTTTTGTTTTCAGTCATGTCGGCCAATAATAAAAAACGTTTGTGACACAGACTGCACCACGTCGAAGAAGCACCACATAAAAAAGGTAAGCTGCCGCCCGCCGGTATTATCAGAGGCAAGCTCCATGTCTTCACGTTTTTTGGATTTAAATTAGGGAAAGAAAATGACACGTTTCTCTCACCCTTTCGCCCTGGCTGCTCGGTCACATTAAATTTTCGAAGGGGGGTCTGAATACTGCACTGTGTTCTTAACTTGGCAGCAGCAGCAAACCCTGCCGCAGCGATATTCATTCATAAACTGAGTTCGGCGATGTTTTGTAGCCGCCTCTCACTGCTCGGTGCGGTTTGCTTCTCCCCTAATGCCCACCCACGAGGTCGACAACCATTGATAAAGCAATGTTGTTTTTGGATGTTCATCTGCACACGCGATTAATAAAGCCAAGGGTTCAAATGCCATCTCGGAAGAATGTTGAGCATGATGATATGTCTCTAATTTTGCGGACGCCAGGATAGTTTGGTCAATCGAGAGCAATTAATTGCCTGATTGTATTATTTCGTTGCAACCGAGGTTGAATCGTGTGCAGTACTCGGTTGCAACCAGCAGAGGAGCTGTTTAGTCAGTTGCAACGCGCTGGTGGCCTGACAAAACAAACTTTCACATAGATTTAAAAGTACCGGTAACATTCAGTTAATTACAAACAACGGTGTCTTTTTACTCTACTTGTACTTATTTTACCGATGCTGCACTTTCCTTGATAGCTAATATCATCTGCAGAATAGAACTGATTATATGTCCTTAGTCAATCATATACTCCTCTGCTGTTCTTTAGTGTTACATTTGCTGATCTCAATATATGATTCCATCCATCACGGCTAATGAAAGGATGTTGACAATTTGAACTGTGTATTTGATAACAACTCGTACAGGCTTCAAGCAACGAACGGTAGAAAACGGTTGCTTATTTATGTTGAAGCCTTTTGTGCCGTTGCATGAAGTCGAAGAGCAACCTTGATTTATCCTTTCGAGAGCTAAAAGGCATCCGTGGTGAGAGCGATGTCACCCAGCTTTTTTCTTTTCATTCAGCGCTCACAGTTCTGTCTTTTTCTTGCCGCCCTGTAGAGTAATTCCAAATTGTGTATCAGCACATGCATGTGGACTGAATTCTAATAAGGCTGCTGCGGTATGTATATAATGAAGATAAATACCTGTTTTATCGTTTTAAAATGTCTGCAGCACTATGATCGTGATTGATAAACCAAAGGCGTCTACGTACCTCAAGCCAGACAGATGGGTCTGTCTTTCCACATAGAAAGACACTAAATCACCACCCCTTAATAATGGATTTGACCATAGTTCAGTTTCTGTGCCCATTTTTTTTTTCCCAGCATCAGTCAACTGCTGCGGCTTGACGCTCTGTACAACCCCATCATAAGGCCTTTATCAGATGTTCATTTCTATTTAATTACGGGGTGCCTGGCGCTGCCATTAAGCGGCCCATCCATCAGCACCCAGGTAAGGCCCGAAAAGGTTAACAGGAAGAAATTATCTGGATGAAAGGAGAGACAAAAAATAAAATAAAAAAAATCACAGGTGAAATATGAAAAATCGGGTTGTGGGCCTTATCTGAACTCGGATTTCATGAAATACAATAGTCTAGCCACCCAATTTTTTTTTTTTTTTGAAACGGTAAATAGAATGATAAATAGGGTTGAATTTAGCAGCCGAAGAAAGGGGGGAAAAAAAGAAATGTGCACACAACCTTTTAGAGGCGCGAATGAATTGAATGTTGTTTTGCATCTGGAAAAAAAAAAAATCGATCTCTCCGTTACCCTCCATGAATTCCAAAGTCGTCTGGTGACAGATGCACAAACAAAGGCTAATAAGTTGCTCCCTGAAGTGTGTTTGATTTTTGTTTAAAGTATCCTCTTGGTGGATGTTTTGAGCTCTGCTCAGTGACATTTTTGCTATCATCAGTGTAGCATTGCTAAAACATCAACTCTGACGGTGCACTTTGACAGTACGCTACCAAGATAACACTGCATGCTTTTCTTTAACTCCAGCCGACAGCACACCGCATCGGCGCTATTGAAGCGGAATGTGGAGACAATATTTAGCAATTTGGAGGAACAGTGCAATTTCACTCCATAAAGGAACTGAGTGCGAGTGCTTCCTCATGATGACAATATGCATGTTGATTCTGCTTAAAAGCATTTGTAGATTCCCTCTTTTGTCTGCTAGCTCTGCACGCAGGCTGCACAAGTGCCAAGCACCCAGCTGGATGATTTAAAACGCTGAAAACGGCTCAGTTATGGCAAATGTAAGCAGGCTGCTCTTGCCACACGAATGATTTGTTTTCAAGTGAAAATATTGGTTTTGTGCTCATATTTGGATGAGAAGGAAGGATATAAGAAAAGAGACCAGCCCACAATTTATGGGGAGTATCCCGATAATCGATTTGGAGTATGGACAGCAAACCATAGCAAGCAAACAACATGGCTGAGAAGTCATTGTTTATCATACCATCCACAGTCACATGTGCATGTGTGCGCATTAACCGGTCGAAGCCAAAATGCCAGGGCCATTTTTTTTTTTTTTTTGGTGCAAATCCAGCCCTAATTCTGACAATAATTTTTTGTGATGAAACTAGAATCGGGGGGGGGGGGGATGCCTAAGGATCCTATCAAGTATCAAGTACAACTTTATTGTCAAATGTGCTGTATGTTGCACATACAGCACAGATGAAATTTTTTCCCTCTCACAACATACAACAAGAGGAGCCGCTGCGGGTGCCCGGGCCGCCAGAATAAAGTTTGATGAGTGAGTGTCAAAATTCCATCATGAATTTCAGACCAATCTCAAGACCTGACCTATATTGTCGGGGTTTTATTTATACATATTTGTCACAGTATATATTATTCACCAAAATATTTCATTGATGATCACCCAAAAAAAAAAAAAAGAGCCAATTTCAGTCGATGTAGATCAGGAAGAGACATAAACACAATCACAGACACAATCAAATGTCTCTAATGATGGCGTTGGTGTGTCAAAACATTGACTATTTCATTGTTGGTGAAACTTGTATTGTTGCTTCACATCAACAGTTCTCATCTTGCCGTATCTATAGGTTCACCGTTGTACGTTTTTGCAACTTTATTCCCCAAAAATTACAACTTCAATACTCTTTTGTGATTTGGTGCAGCACCAATTGGTGAATTCATATCACAAATGTTTATAAAAGACCCAAATAAAATGTGATGTGCATCTTGTAAATGAGCTTTTACGGTCAAGAGGTGACACTCGGTGCTTTCACGTGTTAACCCTCATGAGACCCCCCCCCCCAGCCCACCACCACCCTAAAAAAAAAATACTTGCACAGACAAGTGTGCTTACAGCTCTTTCGCCACCTGTTAAGTTGTGTCAGACAGGACCAACAAAAACGATCACTATGATTCATTCCCATTACCCACGTGAAGAAAATCTCAAGTGTTGACAGCAGCAAGTTAAGCAAGTCAAAATCTGCAAGTATGCGTGACAAGATGTGAGGGGTTGGGGGGGCCGGCGGAGGACGCCAGTTCCTCAATCATCATCAGCGGCACCATCATCAACTCAGTAATCGCACGATGCTTGTGTCTCGCTGGTGCATTGTACTGCATTCCGCATCAGGTGGTTTCAGAGTTGTGTTCCTGCCCCGTCGATCCGATAAAATGGCGCAGTAGGTCGGCAGGGCCTGACCGCCCGCCCCCACCAGTGTCGCTCTATGATGACTGAGCGTTGAGGCACTCGCGCCGCAAGCACTGCGCCGGTTTCCACCAATCCCCAGTGTGGCAGCGGCAGATGGTGCAGTCGTCCACTTTGACTTCGATTCCGGCCGGGATGATGGTCGATCCAGCGAAGCAATTTGGACCTGCCACATGCGAAAGCAGAAGAAAGCGGGAATGAGAGCGACAAGAAGGGCAGGAAGCTTCTCCTGTTGCAGGGCTGGCCAG